CAGTGTACAGAGACATGGGATTATGAAGCTAACTACTTGATTATATGTTATTTTAAAGTTCAAGTTTAAAATATTTTTTAATTCAGAAGTTGTGTGGATCAAAATAATATTCAGATGAAATAAACTACTTGCTATCTACTTATTGTTATTTTAAAATTGACAATTACAAGTCATTATTCTCTAGTTTCAAGATGACTCACATGGTGAACCCTTTGCTATGGATAAGTCTTTTTTCTTCCCTTTCACCTTTTCTTTGTGACATGAGGGCACACTGTTTTTATTTAATAAATTCTTTGAGAAAGTTTCTTGTCCACTGTACTCTTACCTTCCTTTTTTCTTAATTCCATCCTGTTAACTTTCATTTTCTTAGTTCCATCCTGTTAAGTTCCATTCATAATCATAATTATGAATCCTTTTATACTTTTCTCCATGATCATATAATCCAGTGTTTTTCAACCTTTTTTGGGCAAAGGCACACTTGTTTCATGAAAAAAATCACGAGGCACACCACCATTTGAAAATGTTAAAAAATTTAACTCTGTGCCTATATTGACTATATATAAAGTAATTCTCTTGAATAGGAATCAAATAAACACAAAAAAAGTATTTTATAATTACTTTATTATGAAATATTAAGTAAACAAAATAGTGAAAAATTATAAAATTCTTGTCTTGTCTGCACCTACGGCAAGTGTGCCGTGGAACAGCGGTTGAAAAACGCTGATATAATCACATAATGGACACACTATCTCATTTTCTCTCATAAACAGTCATTATGATTTTAAAGCTATTATTTTATAAAATGGAATCATATTATATATTCTTCTGTGCTTTTTGCTTTTCTTATAAATAAATACATTGTGAAAAACCTATTTAAGCCAACTACTTTGGCACTAGCTCATTCTTTTATTTAATTTCATAACAGTCCGTGGCATGGATATAACCACCCTAATTTTTTCTTTGCTCTTGAATTTACATTTTCTTATTAATCTACTAGACTTTTAGAGATTGATGAATTTAAAGGTTTTAATCATTCTTTACCGATACTGATTTTTAAAAAATTTATACCAATATTTCTTTCTCAAACACTCTTCCAGTTTACATTTTTAGCAGTTACATAACAGTACCCTTTTCACCATTAATCAGCAATAGATGATATTTCTCTTACTCTTTTTGCATTAAATGGGTATAAATTGATGTCATATAATTTTAATTTGCATTTCTTCAAAACTAGGTATTAGGTATTACCATCCCTTCAAATTTTATTGGACTTGTAAACTTGCTTTATTGTGAATAACTTATTTCTATTTTTTCACTTTACTTTTTTATTTTGCTTTTTAAATTTTTATTTCTTTATTATAAAACTTTTTTTATAAAATGAAATTTGTGCATGGTGTGTGTGTGTCCATCAGCCCAAACTGCACCCTCTCTAATCTAGGACCCCTCTAGGACCTTCTCACAATCTAGAACTGCTGGCTCCCAACTGCTTGCCTGCCTGCCTTCCTGATTGCCCCTAACTGCTTCTGCCTGCCAGCCTGATTACCCCCTAACCACTTCCCTGCAAGCCTGATTGATGTCTGACTGCTCCCCTGCCAGCCTATTTGCTCCCAACTTCCCTCCTTTGCTGGCCTGGTCACCCTTAACTGCTCTACCCTGCAGGCTTGATTACCCCCAACTGTCCTCCCTTTCAGGCCTGGTGCCTCCCAACTGCCCTCCTCTGCTGGCCATCTTATGGTGGCCATTTTGAGTCCACATGGGGCCAGGATCTTTGACCACATGGGACAACAATCTTTTGTGTTGGAGTAATGATCAATCTGCATATTACTCTTTTATTAGACAGAAGGAGGTTAGAGGCTTGGTACACAGGTGGGGCCTGCTGGTTTGCCCTGAAAGGTGTCCCAGATCAGGGTGGGGGTTCCCTTGGGGCGTGGGGCGGCCTGGGCAAGGAGCCTGTGGTGGTTTGCAAGCTGGCCATGTCCCCCAGTGACCCAAGCAGAGGCCCTGGTATCTGGGATTTATTTATCTTCTACAATTGAAACTTAGTAGCATTGAGCAGAGCCTTCTGCTTGCTCTGTGGCTACAGCCATTTCTGTTGGGATTTATTTATCTTCTATAATTGAAACTTTGTAGCCTTAAGCTGAGGCCTCAGCCAGTCAGGGTATGCGTAAAGCTTGGCTTCCTCCATCACTGGGGAAACCCAAGCCTCCCTCCTGCTCTCTCTGTGGCCTTAACCATCTTGCTTGGGTTAATTTACATACTTGCTCCTGATTGGCTTGTGGGCGTGGCTTGTGGGTGCAGTTGAGTGATGGTTAATTCATTTACTCTTTTACTAGATAGGATATTTTAAGTAATACTTTGTATAAAAATATAATACATACCAGTGTACTCACTACCCAACTTTTCAAATCTGTGATTTTTGCCATTTTACTGCAGATTTTTTCCAGTATGTTATTGTGATAAATTATATGAATGGAGTTTTCTAATTTAGTCATTTTTGCAATCTTAGGGTGAATGAACTTCGTTAATAAAAAAACAACAACATTATTGTTGCCTTGACCAGTTTGGCTCAGTGCGTCGGCCTGTGGACTCAAGGGTGTCCCAGGTTCGATTCCAGTCAGGGCGTGTATCTTGGTTGCAGGCAATCCCCAGTAGGGGATATGCAGGAGGCAGCTGGTTGATGTTTCTCTCTCATTGATGTTTCTAACTCTATCCCTTTCCTTTCCTCTCTCTGTAAAAATCAATTATATATATATATAATAAAAAATATGGTTGGATTTGGTTTGCTAATATTTAGTTTAGGATTGTTAGTATCTATTTTGGTGAGATAATTCTTTTATGATGTCTTTGTTTGGTTTTGGTATCATAGTCAAACTAAATCCACAATATTTGCCATTTTTTCTGTTCTCTTTTTAAATTCACTGTAATTAAGATTAGAATTGTCTTTCATGTTTGGTTGAACATATATAGATTTCCTCTGGGTCTTATGGGGGTTTTCCTTCTTTCTGATTATTCTTTATTTCTTTCCTTCTTCTTCCTTCTTTCTTCTCCTCTACTTTTTTAAAGTGGGAGATTTTTAAAAAAATGATTATAGTTCTTTTGAAATCCATTTTTAAAGTTACATATTTTAAAATTTAATTTGTATACATTTTCTTTTTTAAAATATATTTTATTGATTTTTTACAGAGGGGAAGAGAGAGGGATAGAGAGTTAGAAACATCAATGAGAGAGAAACATCGATCACTGCTTCTTGCACATCCCTTCCGGGGGATGTGCCTGCAACCAAAGTACATGCCCTTGACCAAAATCAAACCTGGGACCTTTCAGTCGGCAGGCCGACACTCCCTCCACTGAGCCAAACAGGTTTCGGCAATTTGTATATATTTTCAAGTTTATTGGCATAATTTATTCTAGCACTCCCTTTTTGTCTTCAGAACTTATATTTAAAAAAATTCTTAGTGTTTTTCTGTGCCTTCTTTCTTTTTCGATCAGAGTTGACAAAGATTTGTTTATTTATTAGTCATTGTAAATCAGTTTTTATCTTGTTGATTCTCTTTATTAGATTTTTATCCTTATTAACTCCTTTTGTGTCATGTCCTTCTTTCAGCTGTCTTTGGGTTATTCTGTTGTTTGCTGACTTGACTTAGATAATTCAGATTAATCTGTTATTTTCTAATGTAATCATATTAGAGCTATAATTTTCTTTCTTGAGTGTAGTAGTTATATTTTATAATTTTAAACACATGATATTAGTGATCGTTTATTATAAATGTTCTTTAATTTCTGTGACCTGTGAGATATTTAGAAGTATTTGTAGCCTCTATCAGTGGGTATAACATTGGCCTACAGACTGAAGGGTCCACATTATTGGTGTGAATATGTGTGTATGTATGTGTGAATGTTCTATATGTGCTAGGAAATAAAAAGCATTAATTGTGTGGCTTAGATATTTTATATGCTTTTATAAAGTTTAGTGGCCTTCAACTTTTTGTCCATGTACATCCTAAAATATCTTTGAAAATAAATTATATACTCCTGCATTTTAAGTTTACAATTAAATTTTTTTCTAAATTTTATTAATTTAAATTTTTTACAATTTGAATTTTTTCCTAAATTTAAATAGGGCAGAGAATTTAATTACTAGTATTGTATAAAATTTGATATTTAAAAATAAGGCTGTTTCACTGTTTTCTTAAAAGTATCCAGTGACTTCTAAATATTAATTACTTGATATATCCTAATTATAAATTTAAATACACCAATTTAAATCTGTTTATCTGTAGAGACATCTAAAAAAATTGAATAATTAAAAATTTTTGTTTGGAAAAGTCCCAGCAGTTATGTTTTAAAACATAGGGCAAAATGATATTAAATTAATAATTCAGTTAGAGTTCGTGTTGAACTAAAAGATTTCAGCTTCTACTGCATTTTAAAAAATATATACTTAATTGATTTTTTTACAGAGAGGAAGAGAGAGGGATAAAAAGTTAGAAACATCGATGAGGTAGAATCATCAATCAGCTGCCTCTTGCACACCCCCTACTGGGGATGTGCCTGCAACCAAGGTACATGCCCTTGACCGGAATCAAACCTGGGACCTTTCAGTCCACAGGCCGACGCTCTATCCACTGAGCCAAACCGGTTTCGGCTGCTACTGCATTTTATGCTGATTTTATTATTATTTTTAAAAATATATATTTTATTGATTTTGTACAGAGGAAGGGCGAGAGATAGAAACATCGATGAGAGAGAGTCATCGATCAGCTGCCTCCTGCACACCCCCTACTGGGGATATGCCCGCAACCTAGGTACATGCCCTTGACCAGAATCGAACCCAGGACCCTTCAGTCCCCAAGCTGACACTCTATCCATTGAGCCAAACCGGTTTCGGCCATTTTATGCTGATTTTAAATTGTTAACTTTAGACCCACTATAAATTATAGATGTTATATAAATGTACTTTTAACTATCTGTACTCATTTATTTTTCTGTTTCTTTCTTAGGAATCACACCTGTGTATCATAGTATGTTTGCTTTAATGAATGAAACGGAAAGGATCTGGTATCCACCCAACCATGTCTTCCATATAGATGAGTCAACTAGGCACAATGTACTCTACAGAATAAGGTATGTTCTTCAGTAAAGTGATTCACTTTAGTGGCAAAAGAACAAAGTGGATGAAATTATTGAATATTTTTAAAATTGTAAGGTATCTAATATCAGAGACTACAGCTAATTAGCATTTAATCTTCTTGTAAGACTATTTCTCCATTAGAGGTCAGGGCGAAGCAGTCTCTTTAAAATTAGGAAAAAGATAGCTGCAGTTACTGCTTTTGTTTTGGATTTTAATGGTGTTCTTAACCAATAAGACAGGAAATAAAAGTTTAATAATTGAGAACAAAGAAGGAAAAAGTCATTATTTGGAGGTGATATTATAAGCATTTTTCTACATTTCTCTGTTTCCTATTATTTCTACAGTCTATGCATGGAGAAAGGCAGTATATTGATTTTTAAATTAAGTTTCTTGTATTTTCTACGTATTATTTGTATTATATAGTTTTATCTAGGTTTTTGTTTGTTTGTTTTTTCTCTCAACTTATATTTAACATTATTAGCTGTGTTTTCTCATTATGGGATAATACCTTTCATTCTGCAAGAAGTGGTTATATGTATGCAATATGTTTATATTTGATTTATTTGGAGGCTGACAGAATGTTTCAACTGTCTTGTAGATTTTACTTTCCTTACTGGTATTGTAGCGGCAGCAACAGAACTTATCGACATGGAATAACTCGAGGTGCTGAAGCTCCTCTCCTTGATGACTTTGTTATGTCTTACCTTTTTGCTCAGGTATGACATATTATCTGCTTTTCACGTGTTAAATGATAAAAACCTCTTAGGAAAATCTTCATACATGGCAAAATTGTTCCGTTTTGCACAGCAGGTAAAGCTAGATAACAAAGTGAAGTCTTTATTACTAATTTTTAATCCTATGATTTATGGTTATGGACAATAGAATTTACTTTATAGAGATTCCTTGAATTGGCCATTTTTAACATTCTTCTTTTTATAGGGCTTTAAGTTATTTTTAGGATTTCATAAAGTTTAGACTGAGTTTTATAACATGACTCATGCAAACGTAAGAGGCTGGAACATAGGACAATAAAATATCTTTAGAGAAGTTTGTTTTTTAATTTCTGAACAAACTCAGACTTAAATAGTGGGAAGTGAAATGTAAAGAAACTTGGTAACTACATAAAAAGTTGAGCTATAATAGTTTGTGTAATTTCTCATGGGAGGTTGATGGTCTGATACTGAGTCTGAGTGGTTTTTTCTATTTTTTTTTTTATTAATACTATGTTAATTTTTTATAGTGTATTTGAATAATGCTTTTTTTTCTCTATTACCTTGATTTAAACAGTAATTAAAATGTTTTATCATTAAATAACTTTTGTTTTTATGTGCTAAAGACTGAGGAGTAGAAACTAAAGAAAGAAAAGATATTTGTACTTCTGGGTAAAGAAATGTTCTTGTTATTCCCCATTAAAGAGTAAGTTCCCATACCCCTCTCCTCTGGCCCCTAACAGCCACCTGTGTACTTAATGTCTTTATGAATTTGCCTATTCGAGGTACCTCATATAATTACAGTTATATATAATAGTACTAGATGTCCAATGCACGAAGATTCAGGCAAGAATGGGCCTTCCTTCCCCTGGCTGTCGGCGCCGCCCTCACTCCAGGCCTGGAGCCACCTTTCTGCCTTTGCTCTGGCCCCAGAGCCACCTTTCTGCCTTCCCACGCTACCCAGAGGCCCAGAGTGGCTGGGGCGGTGTGAAACGCCTGCATTGTCGCCATGGCTATGATGCAAGCCTCCTGCCCTGCCCTTGGCCGCTTAGCTTCTGAGTATGCAAATTAACCCTCCATCTTTGTTGGGTTAATTTGCATACTTACTCCTGATTGGCTGGTGGGCATCATGAAGGTATGGTCAATGCATCTTTCTCTTTTATTAGTGTAGATTATCTCTTTTGTGACTGGCTTATTTCTCTTAGCATAATATCTTCAAGGTTCATTCATGTTGTAGCGTGTGTCAGAATTTCCTTCCTTTTTAACCAGTTAACTGCCACACATCCAAAATGGAAACCGTCCCCACATGCTACGATATTTTGAATTTAATTGCGTCTATAGATGCTTATTGTGTACAAAGGGTTAAGGCTGACTGTTCCATTGTACATGGTATCACATTTTGTTTATCCATGCATCTGTTAATTTGAGTTGCTTCCTCCTTTTGACTATTGTGAATAGTGCTGCAGAGAACATTGACATACAAATATCTGAGACCATGCTTTTAATTTTTTTGAATATGTAACCAGAAGTGGAATTAATTTCACTTTCAATTTCTTTACATCCTTGCCAACACTTACCTTCTATATTTTTTTTTTATAATAGTTATTCTGGTAGGTATGAAATGGTATCTCATAGTTTTGATTTGCATTTCCTTAATGATTAGTGATGTTTTTTCATAAGTTTTTTGGCCATTTGTATATCTTCTTTAGGGAAACTATTATTCAAATCCTTTGCCCATTTTAAAATCAGGTGTTTTTGTTGTTGTTGTTGTTGAGTTATAAGTGTTCTTTATACATTCAAGACATTTACCCCTTAATAAATATATGTTGCAGATATTTTCTCTCATTGTATAAATTTATTTTTCACTATGTTGATTGTGTCCTATGGTATGCAAAAGTTTTTAATTTTTATGTGGTCTAATTTATTTTTTTCTTTGGTTATCTGCTTTTGGTATCATATTTTACTGAGAAGTCATTGCCTGTTCCAATATCATGCACTTTTCTCCTACATTTTTAAATTTATTAATATGTTATTGACTATAGTTGGAGTGCTTTCATGGTTCTAAGCTCAATTGGGACAGGCTGGGACCAAGGAAAACTAGCTGGCTTCCACTTCCTCCAAGGGCACTAATAGCTGACCTTGACACTGAAATTTGGCTCAGGAGATTTAAAGAACAGAAATTTTATGCCATGGTAAAAGGTAGAGGGATTTTTTTTCATATAGACAGAGATAAATAACTGGTCTATTTAGACTGGAGTTGACCCATTAAAAGTATTTGAAAATGTCTCAATTTGGTAAGATTTGGATTTTAGACCTTTCTCAAGAGTTGTGAGTGTGTTAGTCATCACACTGAAGATCAGTCCTAGCCTTACCCCTTCAATCAGGACATTAGGGGAAGAGGCTAATCTAGGCTGCTGGGGCAATCATCCCCAGAAAAGGCATATCTTAATATAGTAATAAAAACCTAGGTGGTGTCATGCCCTCGTGCAATGTCATCACAAGATGGCCCCACAAAATGGCTGGCAGGAGAGGACAGTTGTGGGCAATCAGGCCAGCAGGGGAGGGCAGTTGGGGGCAATTGGGCCTGCAAGGGAGGGCAGTTGGGGGAGATTAGGCTGGCAGGGGAGCAGTTAGGCATAAATCAGACTGGCAGGGGAGCAGTTATGGGGTGATCAGTCTGACAGGTAGAAGTGGTTAGGAGCAATCAGGCGGGCAGGCAGAAGCTGTTAGGGGCAATCAGGCAGGCAGGCAGCAGCCCCAGATTGTGAGAGGGATGTCCTAGATTGGAGCGGGTGCAGGCTGGTCTGAGGGATAATCCTCCCACCCCAGAGGAATTTTGTGCACCAGGCCTCTAGTAGTTGTATAAACTGATCCATGTCATAGGGAATGGAGGCGCAAGGAGGATCAGAGAACCCAACATATCTGTTGGAGATTATGAAGCTGAGAATCCCATGATGCATTCCACATAGTGGCACTAGCCCCTCCAGGTTGCACAATACCAGAAGCCTTAGGTGGATGATGGTCATAGGCATTTGCAATGCTGGGATTCATGGGACGAGTGTTTGTAGAAGTTACTGATAAAGGATCTCCTCCTCTTCAATGAAATGATTTGATTCAGTGCTACAGTGCCAGACTTGGCTGAGTTTGTGGCATCTGCTTTCTCATTTTGATGCGCTGGTTCTTAAATGAGTGAACCAGCGATCTTTTCTGTCAAAGAAAGGAGCTCAGTGCTATTTAGGTTCCCCCATTTTGATATGACCTAAATACTCTCAGGGGGCTGCCAGTTTGGGCTTCATCTTATCCCTTCCCTTCCTCTGAATTAGCCAATCACGCAATAATGGGAACCCGAGCTCTGAGCCCTGACCAATCAAGTAAGAGTGAAGGGCAGGGCAGACCTGTGTCAGGAAATAAAACACCAACAGACTTCTCATTGGGTGTGCTTCGCCCATGATTTCCAGCAAATTTACTGCAGCACCCTTTTGTACAGGAGTAAATTTGCTTTGCTGACCCAGTTTTAAGTGTTTGTCTCATTCCTGCGACATCGACATTGTTGAGAGCATTTCTAACAAATCAAGTCTTTATTACTAACTCATCAAGTTGAGTAGCTGTATAAGTTCCACCATGGTAGCTCAATGTGGGTACATGGTCTTTTAAAATGTATTGAAAGCTATTCCAGACTAAAATTTGTGTGGTACTGGTGGGAAGATCTTGGCTTTCCTGATCTATTTTGTATGGAAGATTTATGTAGGAAGCCCTTATTCTTTATACAAACACACACAAAAAAGCCAGCATGCTTCCTAATCGCCCAAATGTGAAGACAGGAGGTCAAACACCCCAGATTTCATTTAGCTTTTCAGCATCTGCCATGTACTCTAATTTAAAGGAACCACATGAGGATGTGAGTCAACCTGCCATAATCTTTTAAAAGTAGAATGATCAGCTGTGTGTGTTGAGAAAGATCAACTCCAGTCTAAATGATCAGAATTTCAATTTCCTTATAAGAGTTTTATGTTTTTTTTATTTTGGCTCTTACATGTAGGTCTTTTGTCCATTTGGGTAAATTTTTATATATGGTGTAAGATAAGAGCCCAACTTAATTTTTGCATGTGGATATCCAGTTGTTTTTTTTTAGGATCATTTGTTGAAAAAACTGTCCTTTCTTCACTTAATGGTCTTGGCATTCATTAAAAATTACTTGACTACTAACCAACTTTTATCCTTTGTTTCAGGAAGCTGAATAAAAATTTGTTAGTTGTTTTCCTTAGCCATTAAGAGAGAGAGAGGCTTTTGATAATAATATTCTATGAGATAATGACTTTCTGCTGCTTTTATGATTTTATTATTTCATCTATACTATAAACCTGATTTCTTTTGGTGGCATGCTAGTTAAATCCCATCAATAAGGCAACCATTCAGTTACTTTTCACTCATATTAATACTAGGATATCTCTGATTTAAAAAAAAAAATATTTTTTATTGTTTGACAGTATTACAGATCCACTTATTTTCCCCTTCCTTTCCCCCCTTCCACTCAGTCCCTGCCTCAATCCAAGCCTTCAACACTCTGTTGTTTATGTCCGTGGTTATAGTTTGATCTAGAAATGTTATGACTGAATGCAGATAAAAATTGTTTTGTTCAGCTACCCATATAAAATTACTTTTCTACAGTTTAATGAAATGATACATTCTATGATATTGAAAATAAGCTAGTTTAAAATAAATTGATTTGGCATTTGGGACTCTATTTGTAGCTTTTTTCTAGTGGGTATTTGGTTGAGTACATTCTTAGCACTAATGTTACTGATTTTTCATATATTTGTTTTCTTCTGGGCATGAGTTAAACAGAATATCTTCATGAACAAAATTTATTATCCACTGGTCCTATATTGTATATGGAAGAAAAAGCAAGCTATTTAAAAAAAAATTCACCTAGCTATCAGTTTGATAGCTCCTTTAAAAAAAAAAAAATCCTCACCTGAGGATATGGAAAGAGAAAGAGAGAGAGAGAAACATCACTTTGTTCCACTTATTTATGCATTCATTGGTTGCTTTTTGTATGTGCCCTAATGGGATCAAACCTGAAACATTGACTCATTGGAACGATGATCTAACTAACTGAGCCATCCAGCCAGGGCCCTTAGTATAATGCTTTGAACATATTTGGAACTCAGTACATATTTAATTAATATGTATTTTGGTTTAGGTAATTTTGCTGTAGAAGATATAATTTTAAGATCAGAGCAGTGAAATAGATTGATGTATATACTGTCTAGTTGGGAACAAATTTAAATCATTTTCCATATTCAAATAACTTATTAAAATTTTAAGGCAAAATGGTTGAAAATCAAAAGAGTTGGTATTCTTTTACATATATGTGTTCTGGAAATTATATTATCGTTTAAAATATGATAATAAATTAAAATGTAATATTGAAGCTTATGAAATATTTCTTTGTCAATATATTTTTCTTTAGTGGCGGCATGATTTTTTGCATGGGTGGATAAAAGTACCTGTGACTCATGAAACACAGGAAGAGTGTCTTGGGATGGCAGTATTAGATATGATGAGAATAGCCAAAGAAAATGATCAAACCCCACTGGACGTCTATAGCTCTATCAGGTAATTTCCTAATATGTAAATTCATATACATAAATGGAACTGTTGGAATTTTTATATGATTTATTTGTATTTAGTGAACTTCCCTATACTTTTTAATTTTATGATTAAAAGTTGTATGGGTAAATTTTCCTTCTTATGCACAACACACACTTTATTCCAATTTGATTGAATAATAGAGGCTCTGTGCACTAAATTCGTGCATGGGGGGTGTGTGTCCCTCAGCCCAGCCTGTACTCTCTCCAATATGGGACATCCCTCTCACAATCCAGGACTGTTGGCTCCCAACCACTCACCTGTCTACCTGTCTGATTGCCCCTAACCACTTATGGCTACCAGCCTGATCATCCCTAACCACTCCCTGCCAGCCTGGTCAACGCCTAACTGCTCCCCTGCTGGCCCAATTGCCCCTAACTGTCCTCTCCTGCCCTCCCCTGGTAGCCTGGTTGCCCCTAACTGCTCTCCCCTGCAGGCCTGATTGCCCCCCACTGCCCTCACTTCTAGGCCTGGTCCCTCTAAACTGCCCTCCCCTGCTTGCCTGATCACCCACAACTGCCCTCCCTTGCTGGCCATCTTACTGTGGCTATCTTGTGTCCACATGGAGGAACCCATCTTTGACCACATGAAGGCGGCCATCTTATGTGTTAGAGTGATGGTCAATTTGCATATTACTCTTTTATTAAATACGATGGACATAAACACTGTATAAGTGTAAGGTATACAGCATAGTGACTTACATATATCATGACATGATTACTACTATGAATTCAATTATAACATCAATCATTTCATATAGATAGAAAAAAGAAAAAAATATTTTTCCTTTTGTGATGAGAATGCTTATAATGTACTGTCTTAACAACGTTCATGTATACCATACAGCAGCATAAATTGTAGTCATCATATTGTACATTGCATCTGAGTAGTACTTATTTATCAAAGAAATTATTGAAAGAGTTGGTATACTATAGAAAATATCATAGGTGTTTGATACCTATTTATTATTTGATTTATTTATTCTAAAAAGGCTAGGTAAGGTCGGAGGACTGAAAAGAGCACCTGGAGTCATAATTTCTACCAGTAGATCCTCACATTTTCTGTATAAATAATTCTGAATCAGAATATCTCTAATAGGGTCCATATTTTACTTGAATTACTATCACCTGAGGCTCCTGTTAAAATGAAAGATTCTTGGGCTCTAACCCAACAATTTGGATTCAGTAAATCTGAGGTGAATTCTACAAATATGAATTTTTATAAGTGCTCCATGAGATTGAAAAAAATCAGTTTTATTGAAGTATAATTGACATATAAAATAATAAGATATAGTTAATGTAAAAAAATGCAAACCTGTAAAGAATTTTTGTAGTTGTATGTGAGCCAAACTGTTGACAATTGCCAGGAAGCAGTATTTCAACAGATTGGGATAATGCTCCAGAAAATGGTGGGTTTTTCATTAATTTTTATACATTGCAATCAAAAGAGGGGATGCAGGTGGGTTACATGATAGATTAGAGAAGTGGGAGAAAGCAAAGCGGGGGATGTAGGAGTGGGGGCAGAAACTCTGGGATTGGATAACAAGTAAAATGATAGATAATACTTATCTGTCCTCGTGCCCGGGTACATTGATTGTGACCAAGGGAAAGAGGGAAGTTACAAGTTACCCAGACATTTCAAGGATATGTTATAGGTACAAAAAGACAGATAGGCTCAGTTAAGGTAAAGATTGACCTGGTCAGTGAAGATATAGGCCCTATGACATAACTACCCACCATAACTGCTTTTAGTTAAAGTTTAATTTCAGGCCATTCTTTTTGATCATCTTAGGTCTCTGAGATTGCAAGACTGCCATGCAGGCCTTCTCTGAGTTTATCATGTTAGCATGTGGCCCCTTTCATACACAATGTTTAAAGTGTAGATCATCATGATTTGATATGCATAGTGAAAGGATCCCCTATGAAGTTTATTAATACATACACCACCTCACATATTTATCTTTTTTGAGTTTTTTTTTTTGGGGGGGGGGAACTCTTATCAAATTTCACTTATACATATATAGTGTTGTTAATTATAATCACTGTCTTGTACATTAGATCCTCAGATCTTATTCATCTTATAAGTGATTCAGCAAAATCTTACACAAGTAAAGCATACTCCATACTCTTCAAATTATTCTTCTGCACATTGAATTTTAACAATCATGACAAATATAATTTTTTAACATTTATTTTTATTTTTAAATAATTCTTTATTATTGAAAGTATTACCAAGTACAATTTTTGAAACACTACTCCTGCAGCCCAGCTTTTATGGCTGGAAAACTTCCACTCTTTTTAAAGACATATAGAAATATGGGTATATAGTATATAAAATTGCCTTTTTTTTTAAGTCTGAATATGAAATAATATGTCTTAACTATTGCATACTTACCAGAGTAAAAGTGTGAAGATGCCATGAATCTGGTTAAAACTCCCGTTATCCCTTAACACAGTTCTCTCAATGACTGACTTAAGTCACTTCTTTGCTGAGTGTCTGCAAAACAGTTTGCAGGGTATCAATTTCCTGTTTCCCTCTTTGGTTTTAAGTGTTCCTTTCTTGCTTTCAGATGTTCATTAAGTCTTAACATAAGGATAGAGGTTATAGGGTTTTATTTTAGGAACTCAATGAGGAATCTAGAAGATTCCAAAGCCCAAAGGAAAAACAGAAACATTTCTTTTTTCCCTAAGGCCTCATTCATTTGTTCATTCATTCACTCATTAACAGTATTTATTGAATGCCTGCTATATATTAGACCATAAAGAACAGAGTCAATGGAGGTATATTTTACATATCATTATAGAAACTGAAGGAATTGAAGGGAGCACAGTTGAAGAACAGAGAAACTTTGAATTTTATAAATATGAATCCTTTTCTAGGCTTATGCTATGTTGGAACACTTCTGCTTTGGATACCATGATATTGCCCAAAGTCTTGGCATAATCCTGTGGCTTCTTGAGGTCAGGAATCATGCCCTTTCCCTATATTGTTTAATCTAGTGTCCTAAACTCAAGTGAAGGTTTAGTAATTGTATTTCTGTGGTTTTTCTTAATCAGGATATAAATGCATCTGCAAATTCTGCATAATTTTTCTTTTAAAATTATACAGATATCAAACATTCACTATAAAATTTCATGATATTTTAAAAGTTTTATTGATATATATTTCACATACCATAAAATTTACACACTTAAAATGTACAACTCAATATTTTTTATTATTGACTTGTAAGGAGTCTATATATTTAGATACAAGTCTACACATATAAGTTACCATATATATATGTTTGCAAATATTTTTCCCATTCTGTGTATTTTTTTTCCACTTTCTTAAAAATAACATTTGTAGCACCAGAGTGTAACTTTGAAGTAGTATAACTTTTTAGTTTTTTCTTTTGTCTGTTGTACCATGATATTTTAATATACAATAAGTAATTTATTCCTGTCCTGAAGTTAAAAACATGCCTGCCTTGCTTGCCTTGTTAATATAACTCACTGATAGTTCCTGAATTCTCACTTAGTGCTTATTTTTGAGAAATAAAGACTCTGCTTAGTTTTAAAATATTCAGGATTAATGGGAAAACAGATGAATTATTAGTTTGGGGCAGAATCTACACTAATAAAAGAGAAACATGCAAATTAACCATTACTCTGCTACACCCACCAGCCAATCAGGAGCGAGTATGCAAATTAACCCAACTAAGTTGGTGGCTGCCACAGAGCTGGAGCGAGCAGGAGGCTTGGATTGCCCCTGGTGATGGAGGAATCCAAGCTTCCCACCCACCCTGGCCAGCCCTGGCTGGCCCTGGCCTCCGCTCAAGGCTACAAAGTTTCAATTATAGAAGATAAATAAATCCCAGATACCTGCTTCCAGCTGGCCCTGACCTCTGCTTAAGGTGGCACTGAAAAAAAGCAAAAGCAAAAAAGCTCCTTACCCAGGCTGGCCACACCCCCATGGGGTGAAGGTCTCTGCTGGGGGGCTTGGCCAGCCTGCAAACAGCCATCACCCCTCACCCAGGCTGGCCAGGCACCCCACTGGTAACTAATTTTTTTTTTTCACAAATGTATATAAAGTAGGCATTGGAATTTGCATTCTGATTGTATTTTAAGTCTTTTTTTCAGTGTTTTCTAAACTTACTGAGGCTCTCCTATTTGCTGTATAAACTTTTTAAAATTTTATGTATTTCTTTACTTATAGATACGTAGTTTCTATGAAAAGGAACAGAATGTGACTTTTAAGGTCTGACAAATGAGTAGAATTTATTATTTATTTATTTATTTCTTTTTAAAAATATATTTTATTGATTTTTCACAGAGAGGAAGGGAGAGGAATAGTTAGAAACATCAATGAGAGAGAATCATCGATCAGCTGCCTCTTGCACACCTCGCACTGGAGATGTGCCCACAACCAAGGTACATGCCCTTGACCAGAATCGAACCTGGGACCTTTCAGTCCGCAGGCTGACACTCTATCCACTGAGCCAAAATGGTTTCAGCAAATGAGTAGAATTTAATGGGTGGAAAGAAGTGAGTGATAGAAAAGGCCTCGTAGCAGAAGGGAGCATAGGAAGACTGAAGAGATTACAAAATATGTTGACTATGTTCTGCGCAGTGAGAAAACCTGAAGTCATTTTCAAGGTCCACCGTTTCTTACTTTTCAGTGGTAACTATGTCACCTTTCTCCACTTGTGTTCTTATAGCATTTATCATGGAAAAAGGAGGTAAGTTATCTTTTACTTTTGTTTTAGATTTATATTCCAAATGTTTTATTTCACTGTGTGTGTTCTTTATGCCTAGCTATAAGACATTCTTACCAAAATGTATTCGAGCAAAGATCCAAGACTATCATATTTTGACAAGAAAGCGAATAAGGTACCGATTTCGCAGATTTATTGAGCAATTCAGCCATTGCAAAGCCACTGCCAGAAACTTGAAACTTAAGTATCTTATAAATCTGGAAACTCTTCAGTCTGCCTTCTACACAGAGCAATTTGAAGTAAAAGAACCTGGAAGAGGTCCTTCAGGTGAGGAGATTTTTGCAACCATTATAGTAACTGGAAACGGTGGAATTCAGTGGTCAAGAGGGAAACATAAAGAAAGTGAAACACTGACAGAACAGGTAATTCTTAATGATATGTTCTCATTCTTTGTTAATTTAAGTAGAATGGCAATAGAAGTAAAGTAATTTTAGTAATTTGACACTTGGCCTTGTACTTTTCTTCTCCCACTGATAGAAATGTAAGTGTAGAGGTTATATCTATAGATCTTTTCTGATTGCTCTTAAATATTTTTATTTAATTATTTATGACAAAATAATTAGTAATATTCTTATAGTTTCAGAAATGGCATAAAGTTATTTTTAAGGTAGTTTTGCATCTTTATTTTACTATTGTTTAAAATATTTTTTCTTTCACTATTACTGATATAGGAGGCATAATCATAAAATTTAATATCCTAGTAAAGATTAATTTTTATTTTATGATGTATGAAAATTTAGTATGTTTTAGGATTGTATTATAAGTTTTTTAATTTGTTCGTATCTGTTCTTAGATTATTATTAGAGCTTTAAAAATATTCCAGTCTTCATTCTGTGGTAAACTTTTAATTTTCTGACAGTTGTTGCTATTACTATTGATTGGACTGAAGAGTACTAGAGCACACTTAAGATTCCTGGCATCTTTTGATGCTCTAATTTTTAAGTCAAAACAAGATACAGTGTAGTCTAGGGTGAATATCGGGGAAGAGAATCCCATTTAATATTTACCTATTGCTATCAATACTTTTTTATCTTAAAAATTTTGTTAATGAATATTATATCATTCATAAGTCTTATTTTAAAATGGCTCCATAGGTTGTTTTTAATTTCAAATACTCTTAATTATAGGATTTACAGTTATATTGTGACTTTCCCGATATTATTGATGTCAGTATTAAGCAGGCAAGCCAAGAAGGCTCAAATGAAAGCAGAATTGTAACTATCCATAAGCAAGATGGTAAAAATCTGGTAAGTTTGCTTTATAACTAAATAATGGTTACATTATACAGTTTTTGGAAGTATTTATTTATTTACAATAATTTATTTTAATACATTTTATTGATTTTAGAGAGGAAGGAAGAGGGAAAAGGAGATAGAAACATCAATGATGAGAGAGAATCATTGATTGGTGCCTCCTTCATGCCCCTGACTGGGGATCGAGCCTGCAACTCAGGCATGTGCCCTTGGCCAGAATCAAACCTGGGATCATTCAGTCCGCAGACTGATATGCTATCCATTGAGCTAAACCAGTCAGGGATAGAAGTATTTATTTTTAATATCCAAGGTATCTTGAAGAAATTTAATTATAGTTTTAAATATAGCTCTAAATATCAGTTTAGTCAGCTTTTTTATTACATCTAGCTTTTTGTATCACTACCGAAACTATCTTCCCATAGAGTTTCTTGTACATTAATTTGTTTTTCACTCATTTTTATGATTAGTAAAGCATTAGCTACTTTTTCTTCCCACTCTGGGTGGCACTAATTTCCTGTGGCTCTTTGTTTGTTTGTTTTGTTAATCCTCACTGGAGGATGTTTTTCCATTGATTTTTAGGGAGAGTGGAAAGAGAGGGGAAGACAGAGAGAAACACATCAATTGGTTGCCTCCTGCATGATCCATGACCAGGGCTAGGGTTGGGGAGGAGCTTGTAACCAAGGTACCTGCAACCAAGGTACATGCTCTCAGCCAGAATTGAACCCAGGCAATTTGGTCCACAAACTAATGCTCTATTCCCTGAGCCAAATTGGCTAGGGCCCTGTTGTAGTTCTTATTCCTGATTATCATCTTTTTTTTTTTTTTTTTTTAACCAATAGATACGTGAATAATACCAGTCATACTGCCTAATTAAAGGAGAGAAAGAAATTAAAACAATACTACCAAGAATTTATATAGCAAAATGTCAGCCCTGCCCAAGCTGTAAAACATGATTGATTCTAAAAGATTTAACCCTTCCCCTTTTATTAAATATTTTTAAAAATCCCACTTATTTTAATTGAAGTGAAATGTAACTAGACACTAAATGGGTCCAAGGCCAACTGTCATTATTTGAGCCAAATTAAGCAGACAAGATTGAATCACATATGAGCGTTTATTCCAATAATGCCAGCAGTGTTGAGAAAGCAGCAGGTCATCCTGAATATCCTGCTCTCTGACATTTCATTTCAAACAAACTCTTCTGTAGGGTTAGTGGGTGGGGAAAATCTTCAGTTAGTGAGTTCCCAGAGACTGCCTACTTTCCTGTCCTTGTAAAGATTAGCCCCGAATGCTGCCTCCCTTCAGATAGGTTCTGTCCTTGATCTGGGCTCTGGGATGCCTTATCTCCCAGGCCTGTTCTTCTTGTAACATGTTCTTCAGTTTCCCAGGGTCTGTAAGAAAATCCTTCTTTTTCTTCTTCTTCTTCTTCTTTTTTTTTTTTTATGGTGAGTAGTATGGTTATTAAACAACCATGATTCTGTTTCTATTACATGCCCCTCCTCTATAAAAAAGAAATACACTCTTTTATACTCTGCTCTTAAATGTCTTATTTATCTGGCTCTGTCTTCTTTTCAACTCAGATATTTAACTTCCTGGCTTAAATGTCATATTAGTGTTATTTTTTAACTTAAGTATCTATATGTACCTCTCTGGCCAGTACAGGTTTATATTACCAAAATTATAATTAACTTGCAACTCAGCAAGCTTTCCTGTTCTCAGATAAAAATATGATTAATACTGTACACCTACTCCCTACTAGACTTTTATAAGATTTTAGTTTATACTATATACATTTTCACTTATAGAATAAGTACTTTAACTTAGCAGTGTATATTTGATATGTAAAAATAAATCATTATTTCTAAATAATACAAACTTTTGTATTGGATTAGATAGATTTCTAATTGAGATAACTGGCATTTTTCTAATGGGGAAAATATAATAAAATTATGGATGTAGAGTGAACTTTAACTAGAAAGGCATGATAAGCCCATATTCAAGAGGTCTTAAATATTAGACAGAATAATTTATAATTCAAATTGGACCATAAAAGACATTTGCACAATGTAGAAAAAAATTTAGAAGAATTAATCTAACTACATGGGGCAAAAAGAATTTTTGATATGTAGCAGACAGTTGACTTTTTAAATGATACCTTTTTTTCTTTTCTTCTTAGGAAATTGAACTTAGTTCATTAAAGGAGGCTTTGTCTTTTGTGTCATTAATTGATGGATATTATAGATTAACTGCAGATGCACATCATTACCTCTGTAAAGAAGTAGCATCTCCAGTGGTTCTTGAAAATTTACAAAGCAACTGTCATGGCCCAATTTCGTAAGTAAAACAGTTTAAAAGTAAATTTTTGTTGTTGTTGTTAATCTTCACCTGTGGATATTTTTCCATTGATTTTGATAAAGAGAGAGAGTTGCCTAGGTGTGGTACTAGATAGTGATAGATGTTCTTGCTTTCATATAGATTACACTTTGACTTTTCTTTCAAGACATGCAGCTTCAGTAAAACATATAGCAGATTTTAAAAATCAGTAGTCTTTGTTACTTGGAATGGATCTTCTACTACACTTTGGATTATATTAAATATTATGATAATACACATTTATTAATAATTTTTATATTAGAAATTGCTATGGTAGAAGAGACATAACTGTTTATGCTATATTGTTTGCATAAATGAAGTTTTATGAGAGTATTGTTTTTAAAATACTAAGTTTGCAATCAGAAGGCAGAAAATTCAAATGAATGAATTGTTCTTTGGGATTTTGTGTGTCCTCTAATGCCATTGATTTGTTTTTAAAGCAATGTAATTGTCCCTTGAATTGGTTTGAACTTAATATTTTTTCCAAACAAGATTATTGATAAACATAAAGTAGACTTCTAAAAATTTTGAGTTTTAGATTTTACTTTTGATCTTTTAGATGACATCTTGCTATGTTATTATTCACATTACTTCTTTACCTTTAGAATGGATTTTGCCATAAGTAAACTGAAGAAAGCAGGTAATCAGACTGGACTTTATGTACTTCGATGCAGTCCTAAGGAGTTTAATAAATATTTTTTGACTTTTGCTGTTGAGGTTAGTATATCATATTCACTAATAGTAACATCTTTATTTAATCTATATAATTTTCCTTTCATGTTTAGGTTCCATATGTATTTCCTTTTTAATAATCTGAATTATAGCTCTGGATATAGCTAGCATAATATTTATTTTACCTCAGGGATCCTGCATGTATAATAAATTAGAATTCCTAGGATTTAGTCGAAACCGGCTTGGCTCAGTGGATAGAGCGTTGGCCTGCGGTGTGAAAAGTCCCAGGTTCAATTCTGATCAAGAGCATGTACCTTGGTTGCGCAAGAGGCAGCTGATTGATGATTCTCTCTCATCGATGTTTCTAATTCTCTATCCCTCTCTCTTCCTCTCTGTAAGAAATCAATAAAAATATTTTTAAAAAAAGAATTCCTAGGATTTATATAAAAATATAAAATGATTTATAATGTCCTTCTGTCTTTCAATATAGAATTTATTTTACTTCATTTTTTGGTGTGTGAGTGTCATATTGTATTAGTTCTCTTAAAGTCTCTTTTTTCAGAAAAAACGCAAATCTTTACCAATTCATATAGAACACAATAAATCAGAAGTAAACTTTCCTTTTATTAGTAGTGGTTACAAGATTTGAGTGAAATAAGATAATAACAACAAAGAAAAAGCATTATTGAATTTTTAATTAGTGGTGGGGTTTTTTTCTTTTTTTAAAAAAATCCTTACTTGAGGATGTTTTTTTTTGTTTTTTTTTTTTAATTTATTTATGAGAGAGAGAAACATCAATTTGAGAGAGAAACATTGATTGGTTGCCTCTCTTACGTTTCCCACAGGGGATTGAACCTGTAACCTAGGTATGTGCTCTGACCGGGAATCAAACCTGCAACAACCTTTTGATGTAAAATGCTCCAGTCATCTGAGCCACCCAGCCAGGGCTAACCTCTTTCAAGAATAACAATCTACAAAGTATGTTTTAAGCATAAAACTAAAATGAAACCTCATTTTTTAAAAACATTTTAAAATTAATTAATTATTAATTGATTTTAAAAAGAGAGAAATATCAATTTGTTGTTCCGCTTATATATACATCATTGGTCGATTCTTGTATGTGCCCTGAACAGGGATTGAACTTGCAACCTTGACATATCAGGATGATGCTCTAACCAATGAAACCTCACTCTTAATGCAGATTATTTGGATGTCATCTAAGATTGTTTACAATCCAAAATTATCTAAAAAGAGTATCACTTATAAGGCAGTTTCATGGTATAAATCTTGAAAAACTTTATATTAGTTTCTAAAATTTACCTTGTTTTTTAAAAATGTAGAAAGTAAGTCAGTTATTTTAAGTTTTATAAAATTCAGTTATCTTATATTTAGTATATGCAGATGGATTTATTGTCCATAAAAAACAGAAGGTAGGTTATAACTTTAGCATTGTAAAATGCTCTATCCTAATTTCAATATTTTCTCACTGTAATTATAATAGCTCTTTATATTCAATTACCAAATCAAAATGAATATATTGTTATGTATTAGGAAGTATATGTTACATAGCCCTGTTTGAAGAAGTTTGTCTTTTGGGAAAAAGAAAACAAAAATTTTATTAAATTGAGCATTGTAATTATTCAGTACTAGAGACCTAATGCATGAAATTCATGCAAGCAGCTCAGCCCTCGTAGCCCCTCGCAGTTTCATCTGCCCCTCACAGGCCCTCATAGCCTCTGCCGGCCCTCACAGCCCTGGCTTCTCCCGGAAGGTCATCTGTACAGTTGTCCAGATGGTCGTCCAGAAGGATGTCCGTACAGTCATTCTGTTCGGTCTAATAAGCATATTATTCTGTTCGATCTAATAAGCATATTAGCTCTTTATTATATAGGATAGGCATAGACAATAACAGAAAATACAGTGAAGAAATATCTTTTGGAGCAGGAAGAATTTGAGATTGACCTTGAAGTATTTAGTTGAGTTCATACAAATGCTCCTAAATAGGTTGATATGCTTTTAAGAAGCAATTCAAAAAATAGATGAATGAACAAGCTTGTAATGAACAAGCACATAAGACAGACATTGAAAAACTGAAAAATATTAACATTCCCATATTGGAGACAATTATACAAATTCAGAATGTGGTAAGAGTTATATGGAGGACCTCACAGGAAGTGGTATTTAGGAACTAAGTTTTAGGAGTGAATAAAAGTCCAATGCTCAGAAAGAAAACTTGTATATTTCATAGGTAGAGAGAGAGCATGTACAGTTATCATGAAATAGCATGGTACTTACTTGGAATTTTTTGAGTCACAATATACATAGAACATGGGCTGTATTTTGTTAATTGGCAGAAGTTGAGATTGGAGATGGAGGCAGAATCCTGATCAAGGAACACCATATACACTAAGTTGGTTATAGACTTTATCTTATAAGTGATGGAAAACTGTTAAGGATGATATTATTGTTAATTATCATTTTTTTAAAAAAATAAAGTAAACTTTATTTTACTTTAGCCTATACCAGTGGTCAGCAAAATCATTAGTCAACAGAGCCAAATATCAACAGTACAACGAATGAAATTTCTTTTGAGAGCCGAAAACCAACTTCTGTGCATGGGCCTTGGAGTTTCAATCACACTGTACGTGCGTGCCCGCATGTGGTATTTTGTGGAAGAGCCACACTCAAGGGGCTAAAGAGCCACATGTGGCTTGTGAACTGTGGTTTGCCAACCACTGGGCCCTATACAATATAGTTCTTTTTGAAGAATCAAGCACCTTTATTACCCTACACTGGTACCGTTTTAGGATTCATGATTCAAATGTCTAAATATTTTGTTGGTTATTTTTGTGAAATCCATTTTGTAACAGTAATCACTATGATGTCTATTGTGATTTTCCCTCCCTCTCTTTATAATTAAACTTATATAGCGTGATAATGTCATTGAATATAAGCACTGTTTGATTACAAAAAATGAGAATGGAGAATTCAACCTCAGTGGGACTAAGAAGAACTTCAGTAATCTTAAAGATCTTTTGAATTGCTATCAGATGGAAACTGTTCGCTCAGACAATATAATTTTCCAATTTACAAAATGTTGTCCTCCAAAGCCAAAAGGTAAAATAATTTTCTAGTTATTTTAGAAATATGGATCATGACTTGTGTATATATAGTGATGTCTTTAGTATATTGATTTAAAAAGAAAGGTGAAAGAAGCAGCTCCAAAAACAGATTAATTTTGTCGTATTCTTTATAAGATTGATCAGATTGGTTTAGGTTTTCTAGAAGTGACATGAAGTTCTATAATTCTAAAATGATATTAAAAAAATGCTTGGTATAAATCAATCATTTATTAATTGAAGTGAAAGACCTCACTACTAAATTCTCATATGTGGTTCTAAGTAAACACTTTCATACTCTTAGAATTTTAATTTCTTATATATGTATTTTTAAAAATAACTTTTCATTGTTCACATTATTACAATTGTTCCTCTTTTCCCCCCACATTGCTCCCCATCATCCAGTTCCCACATCACCCCCTGCCCTTATCCCCACCACTGTCCTCATCCTAAGGTGTATGATTTTTAAAAATATATATATTTTATTGATTTTTTACACAGAGGAAGAGAGAGGGATAGAGAATTAGAAACATCTATAAGAAAGAGTCATCGATCAGCTGCCTCTTACACATTCCCCACTGGGGATGTGCCCGCAACCAAGGTACATGCCTCTGACCGGAATTGAACCTGGGACCTTTTAGTCCGCAGGCCGATGCTCTATCCACTGAGCCAAACCGGTTTCGGCAGGTGTATGATTTTTGTCCAGTCTCTTTCCGCACTCCCCCACAGCCCTAAGAATTGTTAGTCCACTCCCTTGTTATTCCCCTGATTCTATTATATTCACCAGTTTATTCTGTTCATCAGATTTTTTATTCACTTGATTTTTAGATTCACTTGTTGATAGATATGTATTTGTTATCACTTTGTTGTTCATAATTTTTATCTTTACCTTTTTCTTCTTCCTCTTCTTAAAGAATACCCTTCAGCATTTCATATAATACTGGTTTGGCAGTAATGAACTCCTTTAGCTTTTTCTTAACTGTGACGCTCTTTATCTGACCTTCAATTCTAAATGATAGCTTTGCTGGGTAGAGTAATATTCGTTATAGGTTCTTGCTATTCATCACTTTGAATATTTCTTCAGGCCTGCATACTTTCTGTTGAGAAATCAGCTGACAGTCATATGGGTACTCCCTTGTAGGTAACTATTTTTCTCTTGCTGCTTTTAATATGTTCTCTTTGTCTTTTGCCCTTGTCATTTTAATTATGATGTGTCTTGGTGTGGTCCTCTTTGGATTCCTTTTTTGAGGTTCTCTGTGCTTCCTGAACTTATAAGTCTATTTCTTTTACCAGGTAGGGGAAGTTTTCTGTAATTATTTCTCCAAATAGGTTTTCAGTATCTTGCTCTCTCTCTTCTTCTGGCACCCCCATAATTCAGATGTTACACTTGAAGTTGTCCCAGAGGCTCCTTGCACTATCTTCATATTTTTTGATTCCTTTTTCTTTTTTCTGTTTCAGTTGGGTGTTTTTTGCTTCTTTATATTTCAAATCTTTGACTTGATTCTTGGGATCCTTAATCTGCTGTTGGATCTCTGTATATTATTCTTTATTTCAGTGTATGCTTAATTTCTGATTGGTCCTTTTTCATATTTTTGAGGGTCTCGCTAAATTTCTCTGAGGTTTCTAGAAAATTCTTGAGTAACCTTATAACCGTGGTTTTGAACTCTATATCCAGTAGTTTGCTTTCCTCCATTTCTTTCATTTGTGACCTGTTTCATTGCCTCCACATTTTGGCTGCTTCCCTGTGTTGATAGTGTGGCTTTGTGTGCTAGGTGTCCTATAGGGCCCAGTGGCTCAGCTTCCCTAATTACCTGAGGTAGACATTCTTGGTGCACCCCTTTGTGGGCTGTGTGCACATTCTTGTTGTAGTTATGCCTTGATTGCTGTTGGTATCACTGTGAAGAATTGACCTCCAGGCCAGCTGACTGTGAGGAACAGTTGCATCTACAATGGGAGGACTTCTATGCTGGACTTGCTTCAGTGGGGCTTTGGTGCTCACTGAGGGTGTCTCTTATTGATGTGAAGAATTGTAATCTGGATGGTCTCACTCTGACCACTGGATACACTGGCTCTTGGATTTCCAAGGAGGTGCAAAGTCAGCCACACCTTGAGGCCACCCAGTAGGAACTACAGAGAAATCTGAAGATTCCTTCTCTTTGTGTGGGCTTTGGAGGTGCCCAGATGAGGCCTAGTTGTGAAGCACTGCAAGTTGTTGTCCAGCCTTGGGCCTTCTTTTGGAAGCTCTGGGGCTCTCTGACCCAGCTGCAGTTTGTTAGGTTTTAGATTGCAAAAGGCCAGGCCATTCATATGCAAAAACCTCTGTGCACAGCTTGGGTGGGGTTGTAAATTGGGTGGGGTGGGATCTCAGGGAATCACCTGGGTGGAGCAAACAGAAATGGCTGACTATCAGCCCTGCCCCAAAGAGGCTCTCCGGTCTCTGTGTCCCACAGCACCATACAGGAACAATGATTGCTGCAAGCACTTCTGAGAGAAAGCCACCCTCGTGTTCTGGCCTGATGCCAGACAGTCCAGTTTCTCTCCATATGAGTCTGGGTCCCCAGAGTCTCGCTGGGAACTGGAGTTCAGAGCAGTTGGGAGCTTGCATCTCCCTCCTGACTAAAAAAGACAACAGCTGTATCTAGTTGCCAGCCCTTTTTCTGCGCACAGCTCTGCACCTCCACACTTCATTTCTGCACCTCTGCACCTCCTCCCAGTCTCAGTGTGCTTTTCTCTTTCCTTCTAGTTGTATAAATTCCACTCAGCCAGCCTTCCCATGGTTCTGGATGTTATCCATTTTGTCTTTTAGTTGTAGTTTTGATGATGTTGTGCATGGCAGCAAGTTCAGGTGTTTACCTATGCCGCCATCTTGGTTGTGTCTCTTATTTCTTATACTTTTAAAATAAAAATGCTAAGATTAGAAATCTCATGAAATAATGATTATTAAAAATTATTAAAATTCCTGAAAATTTATATTAGCTATGGAAGTGAATAATTTTGAATATTTGAAGTAACTGGTTAAGGTACATTAAAGTTCAGTGAATAAAATGCTAAAGTAATTTTTTATGGAAAAAAATGAACAAAGTTATTAAGAATTTCTTATATTTAGAACACACTTTATTTTACCGCTTTGGAGAACTTTATGTCCTCAGCATGTTTTGATTATATGTTTTTCATTATTTCTTTTATTTCTTTTACAGATAAATCAAACCTTCTAGTCTTCAGAACAAATAGTGTTTCTGATGTACCAACCTCACCAACATTACAGAGACATAATAATGTGAACCAAATGGTGTTTCACAAAATCAGAAATGAAGATTTAATATTTGTAAGTCATTAGATGCTGATTATGGTCTTTTTTGTCCTTTTAAAATAACAAATGTTCTCCACTTATATCCATGTGTCATTTGGAAGTATTTTATTATAATCCATATTAAATTTTTTTGCACTTTAAATATTTTTATTTCTTGTGAAAGTGTAATACCAAACTTGAGTGAGAAATTAATAAAAATATTTTAAGAAGGGAATTGTATTTTTGCAGAATTTTAAAATTTTCTTTATAAATCTTAAATTAAAAATCTTCTTCTATAAAAGACCTAAATCTTAATTCTCAAATTGTAGAGAAAGTAAGAGAAATTTAAGGAATTAAAAAAGAAACTGAAAACAAAGTAGTACTTAGGATCTGATGGCTATACAATGATGGGGGTTGGAATTGGTCTCACTAATCAAGGAGATTAAGATCTAAAAGTAGGGCCAAGTCTTAAGGCCTAAAGAAGAGCAAGAGTTAAAAATGGGGCCATGTTTGAATAAAGCCAGGACCTTCAAATAAATACATTGTCAGTAAAACAATATGTGGAATGTGAAAAATTCACTCACTAGCAAAAGGGGAAGAGAAGTGTTGTTTTAGGTGGGCTCTTAGGAAAATATGTCTCTCCTGAGAATTTGTAATCATAGACTTTTGAGTTTGGGTTTCGTTATGCCACCCACCTGATCTAGGCTAATAAATTAATATAAAAAATGATACTCCCCTAGTAATACCTTGTAGTGCTTGGAGGAAGCAGAAGGAAAATCTTTTTGGAAGAACATACTCTTAACCTTGCTCACTCAGAAGTCTACTTATGAAATAACTCCAAGCATGAGCTTTTTTTTTTTTTTCTTTTAATCCTCCCCGAGGATATTTTTTCATTGATTTTAGGAGAGAGTGAAAGAGAGAGGGAAAGATAGAGGGAAAGATAGAGAGAAATATCCATGAGATAGGAACACATCGTTTGGTTGCCTCCTGCATGCATCCTGACCAGGGCACAGGCAGCAGGGGAGCCTGTAACTGAGGTATGTGTGCCCTACCCCCACTGGAATCAAACCCGGGACCCTCAGCCCAGACACTATGCACTGAGCCAAACTGGTTGGGTCAAGCATGAGCTTTTAATTGAAACAATTAAAAGGGAAATAGCCTAAGAGTAAGAAGACCAATAAATCTCTTTTAGAAAGAGATTATAAAGTTAATTTTTAAAGATATAAAAAGCAGTGGAAGTATTTTTTAAAAAGAATAAAAATATTTAGAGTAGAAAAATATAGAAATGAAAAATTATACTCATTGATAGAGATACAAAATGAACAGGTTAATAAGCAGATTCCTTTTAATTGAAAAGATAATTAGTGAATTGGAAAATAGATCTGAAAATTTTTCATGTTGAGCAGAATGAGTAAGAAAACGATCAACTCATGTCCACATTCCATAAAGAGACAGTAGATATAATTATCAAGAATTGTAAAGATATGCATCCTCAGGTAATAATGGGAAGCAGAGTAACCTAATGTAATAAAACTAATAATAGTAGACTTAGTTTGAACATAGGCAGTCCTGCTTCAGAGTTCAGGGTTTCAAAAATTACTCTGGAAGGATGTATAAGAAATACTAATAATAGCTAATTATTTAGCATTTACTATGTCTCATAGACTATACTAAGTGCTTTCATGTATTTATTTACTTATTTCTCCTACCAATCTATGGAAAAATAGTTATTCCTTTTCCTCCAATGAAGAAAAGACAGCTACAGCAGAGAGAGAGATTAAATTGCCTGTACAGGGTCAAACAACTAGAAGGTGGTAGGTAATATGGAACAAATCAGATATGCTGCCTCTACAGACCATACTGTACTGCCATTCTACTGCACTAGTAGGAAAGGCAACAACAACAAAATTTCACATGTAAATAAATGTAGGTAAATAAAAATAAATGTAGGTAAATATAGGTGATAATTATAGCCAATCCAGCAGTTTTAAGAACAGATGGAACCAAAGTACACTTTATTCATTAATCCTTTGTTTGTTTGTTTTTTATTACTGTATAAGGAAGCAGAATATAATGAATCCAGAGTCTTAAATCTGGGAGATATTTGCTAATGGACTTTTTTTTTTTTATTCTTTGTCATTGAACATTTTTTCTAATTTTCACATCTTTATCCATCTTTACTCATATTTTTCTTTCCTTTCTTTTAAAGAATGAAAGTCTTGGCCAAGGCACTTTTACAAAAATTTTTAAAGGTGTAAGAAGAGAAATAGGAGATTATGGTCAACTGCATGAAACAGAAGTTCTTTTAAAAGTTCTGGATAAAACACACAGAAACTATTCAGAGGTATGTATGCTCTTTATGTAGTTTATTTAGTTTATGGTATTTAAAGATGTGGTCTTATGCACACAACACATCATGCTTGTAGCTTGTAGCACACAACACATCATGCTTATAACAACAAACTTTCTAAGGATGCCTTCTAGTGTGGCTATAGAAAATTATAGAATCCTAGAGGCCTGATGCATGACATTTGTGCACTCCGGGGTTGGAGAGAGGTTCCTCCGCCCAGTCTGCACCCTCTCCCAGTCCAGGACCCCTCGGAGGATGTTCAGCTGCTGGGTTAGGCCTGCTCCCCAGCAGGTGGGCATTCCCCAAAGGGTCCTTAGTGCTACTGCAGAGGTGGGAGAGGCTCCAAGTACCCCACCACTGTGCTTGCCAGCCAGGAGCCCAGATGCTGGCTGCGGCCATCCCCCTGTGGGAATGCACTAACCACCAAGGAGCAGCTCCTGCATTGAGCATCTTTCCCGTGGGGGTCAGAATGCATCAGAGTGACTAGTCATTTGCCTTTTGGTTGATTTGCATATTAGTATTTTATTATATAAGATTTTTATAATAACACTAGTGGCCCAATACATGAAAATTTGTGCACTGGGGGGATGGAGTCTCTCAGCCCGGCCTGGCCTGCCCCCTCTCACAGTCCGGTAGCCCTCAGGGGGTGTCCTACTGACGGGTTAGGCACGCTCCCTAAGCCACAGTCTGGCCTCCCTCTGCAGGAGGTAACTGGCTGATCAGGTTACCTGAGTCTTGGGTCCTCGCAGCAGCTGCCACCATCCGCCATCTGAGGCCTGCCTGAGCCTGGGGCCAGCCATGGCAGTGGTAGCCGCCATCCACAGCTTGCCTGAGCCACAGGCAGCTACTGCGACTTTGTCCAGAAGATGTCTGCGCTAATTAGTATATTATCTTTTTATTAGCTTAGATTTTAAAACTAATTTCTTTTGGCATTGTATTAAGGTTATCATTACATCTCTGTATATACTAAGGGAATGGTTTTCAGACTTGGTTCCCAGAGCTTTTTGGGCTTCACAGATTTCTTTCACATTTTAATCTATTTAAAAATAAAAAGAGAGAGAGTTTAGCTTTGGTATATGTGGCTTGGTTGGGCATTGTCCTGTGCACCAAAGGGTTGCTGGTTTGGTTCTTGGTTGGAGCACATACCACTTTTGCGGGCTTGATCCCCAGCGGAGGGTGTGCAGGAAACTGATCGAAGCTTTGCTCTCACATTGATGTTTCTATCTCTTTTTTCTTCTCCATCTAAAAATCAAATTTTAAAAAATGTTTGTACTACGAAATAGTCTGGTTGAAATACGGATTGCAGAGATACAAGCCCACAGCAACCCTGCTGCCATTTACTTTGAGTTCTTAAGCATAGCAAGACATCACCAAACATTTGTGATGCTTAAAATATCTTAAGGGATGTTAGTAAGAAGAGGATGTAAACATATAAGTCAAAGAGTTGTTCTAATCCAGAATACCGCAATGTTGGTGAATGTAATTCTCAATAGCTATAGCCAGAAGTTCTAGTCCAAGTTTAGTTGAGTTAGAGTGATGTTAATACCATGCTAATCTCCCAGTATAATTGTCATATTTTATATGCAGAGATAACTTTTTTGTTTTAAATTTAAATCATTTTCAATTTTCAATTACAGTTGCCATACATTATATTAGTTGTAGGTGTACACTCCAATTCCTTACTAAGTCTTATTTGAAGCTCCCACCCATTTACTTCAATCTCATATCACTATCTCTAGTGTCTACTTCTGTTTGAACCTCTGTCTTCTACTCTAGGTGTCATTAGTCTAGGCCTGTTTATCTTCCATATTTATCTGCCTTGTCACTATTGCTCTTTTTTTCATGGCTATCTTCTGTTCCAGCTGTATTGAGGGGTTTCTTCAGAGTGAACTCTTGGCATTAAGATTGGTGGGGACTAAAGCACTTGGTAGCCTTACGTATGTATTCTGCAGAGAAGAGGAGAAAGTGCATTTCTCTACGTCAAAGAATATCTTTCTGAACTGTGAATACTTATACTTACAAACAATAATTCTTTTGCATTTTTTGTATGGTTGTCTTTTCCTTAGTCTTTCTTTGAAGCAGCAAGCATGATGAGCCAGCTTTCTCACAAGCATCTGGTTTTAAATTATGGAGTATGTGTCTGTGGAGAGGAGAGTAAGTAAATCTCTACTTCTTTATGTTAATGTTATAGCTTTCTCAGTACATTTTTTTAATATAGAAAATTTATTTTCAGGATCATAGTTATGTATCAGTATAATCTACAGTTTTAATAGGAATTAAACCAAAAACATTATAGAACTGGTCAGTTAGGCCTTCTAAAAAAGGAAACTAATGAGTGGAATTAAAATGCAGAAAATTGTTAATATGGCTTATGTTAAACAGTAGAGTATTATAATAAACATTGTTTACTAATATTTTACCATAATATATAAGGTTGGCAAAAGTAGGTATATACAGTTGAGTATTCTAAATGAAGTTTATTCTTTCTTGTATATTATTTGTTAATTATTGTATTATTTTTCCATATGAACAACTGTAAACCTAGTTTTATCCAACCCTGTAGATTATGGCTGATTTACATAATAATGGAATAACTGGACATTTCTGTACCATTTATTTGGAATTATAAAGATAAAGCATATTGCCGAAACCGGTTTGGCTTAGTGGATAGAGCGTCGGCCTGCGTACTCAAGGGTCCCGGGTTCAATTCTGGTCAAGGGCATGTACCTTGGTTGCGGGCACATCCCCAGTGGGGGATGTGCAGGAGGCAGCTGGTCGATGTTTCTCTCTCATTGATGTTTCTAACTCTCTATCCCTCTTCCTCTCTGTAAAAAAATCAATAAAATATATATATATTTTTAAAAGATAAAGCATATAAATTATAGATTGATTAAAAAAATAGTTCATTGATTTTTAGAGAGAGGTTAAGGGAAGGAGAGGGAGAAACATTGATGTGAGAGCACATCGATCAGCTGCCTCTTGCACATGCCCTGCTGGGATCATGCCTGCAACTTGGGCATAAACTCTGACTGGGAATTGAACTGGCAACTTTTCAGTGTACAGCACGATGCCCAACCAGCTGAGACACACTGGCTAGGCCTAGACTGATTTTGAATGAAACTGACTGAAATTATTAGATGTTGATATTAGCTATATTCTATGTCTAAATTTAGACTTCATAAAAACTCACAAGGTTTACATTCAGAAACTTTCTATGTAATTCCCATTTTTTATTAATAATGTAGATTAGATATGCATCACACTCATATAACAATGCTTCATATATTTGAATATTGATAATATTTTCAAAGGCAATGGCTTTCAAATCTGTTTTCGAGGAGTTAATAAAATGACTATAAATCTAAGTGCAGTAGTGGGGAGTTTTTCCCACTTACCACCAACTAGAGTTGTTCTGTATTTATCTCTTATTTATTGATGTTTCTCATAATTTTTTACTTGGGGAGGATATACTTAGAGCATATAATTCCAATTCTTACACCTTTTTTTATATTTACTTCATTGTTTCTGTGATATACTCTTCTCATTTAAAAAAAAATCTAAAATTGAGAAGCTGTGATATAATTGATGGCATATCAATTTCATGGGTACTTTTTTCTTATATAACATAAAATAAGGGGACATGATAATATGTGGTATCTATGAAAAATATTAAGTCTTAAATGTCACATAAAAAAGATTTCTTAAGCTCTTGTTCATTGCAACATTGCAACTACTAGATCTTTCCTGGATATTTTCCCTGACAAATTTACCTGGAGGCATTTTTCTAAAATTAAATTTATTGGGATAACATTGGTCAGTTTTTAAATATTGGTTGTGGATTGTTCTCCAAATTAACTATGGGCAGCAAAACTTTAATTTGTTTGTGTTACTCAGCAAGGTCCAAAGGCAACTTTTGTCAGTAACAGTTATTACATACCAAATGAAAACTAAGTCATTTTATTATTTTTTATTTATTTAAAATATATTTTATTGACTTTTTACAGAGAGGAAGGTAGAGAGTTAGAGAGCTAGAAATGTCGATGAGAGAGAAACATCAATCAGCTGCCTCCTGCACCCCCCCCACAGGGGGTTGTGCCCGCAACCAACGTACACGCCCCTGACAGGAATCGAACCTGGGACTTTTCAGTCTGCAGACCGACACTACCACTGAGCCAAACCAGTTTCGGCTGAAAACTAAGTCATTTTAATATTAAATCAAGCAGCATTACAATTTGAGATTGGATCTACAGTATGCATTTTAAAGCAAATATATGAAATATAGGCATATATGAAGTTTATAACTTACCAGGCCATGAGCTAACATGGATAACAATGTGAAGTCTGTGAGAATTCCTTCAAAAATATATATCAGTATGCCATATTAACAATTTTTTTACTTGAATTTTTGTAGGTTTTATTTTGTATCTTAATTTTCCATTATTTAATTTTGAAAACAACACTATGCTTGATAAAAACAAAATATCAATAAGTTCAAATTTGAAATCAAAAACTTAAGCTTACTCTTTTACAAATTATTATTAGTAGAATGTAAATAATCCCTAAACCCAGTTAATTATTAAATAACCTGCATTTATGTAGAAATAGTCTTGTCTTTAAGGAACTAAGTCAATGCTAACAGGGTTGGTAATTTTTACTGTTTCATAATGGCAGTTAGTACTTTTTTAAAGAGCAAATACTTGCTTGTCTGGAAAAGTATATCTTAATAGTATTTTTAAAAAATAGTTTTAAAGATAAAGCAATGCAAAACAATTTTTTTACAGCATAAATTAAAGAATGGATGTAGTTCAAACTCAAATGTTCCTTTATACCTCCAATAGAATAGACATTATTATTAATTTTTGTGTGTGGAAGAAGAATTCAGGAAGTTTTGAATGTCTAAATAGTTTCGTGGAAGAAAAATTAATAATGTGAGACATTTTTATTTGTTTTAAAAAAGCAGTCATAATTCAGTGATGACACATAGAGGTGTGCTGAAGTATTATTTTATATGTGTGGGGGTATGTAAAATGTATATAATTATGAAATGTTTATGTAGATATATATAATGCATTTATTGTGTACATATACTTTACTGTGTATTATATATTACTATGTGTAATGCATATTATGTATAATATTTTACATATAAAAATGTAGATTCCTTCCTCTTGCTGTTGTGAATAAACTAACACCCCTTTCAGAATAGTATGCAGCTGATTAGCTTTTAAAATTAGTGAATTGTATGTAGTTTAATCTCTTTTCCTATAATACCCACAGGTAACTATAATATATTTATACAAGTTTTCAAGTTATATATATTTTGTATGTGTACTTGAGCCTTATCATTATTATATTTTAATGCAGATATTCTGGTTCAGGAGTTTGTGAAATTTGGATCACTAGATACATATTTGAAAAAGAATAAAAGTTCTATAAATATATTATGGAAACTTGAAGTGGCTAAACAATTGGCATGGGCCATGCATTTTCTAGTAAGTAATTAATATATTCTTTTAAAAAAAAATCACCCGCCGAAACCAGTTTGGCTCAGTGGTAGAGCGTCCGTCTGCGGACTGAAAGGTCCCAGGTTCGATTCCTATCAGGGGCATGTACGTTGGTTGCGGGCACATCCCTGGTGGGGGGTGTGCAAGAGGCAGTTTCTCTCTCATCGACGTTTCTAGCTCTCTATCTCTCTCCCTTCCTCTCTGTAAAAAATCAATAAAAATATATTAAAAAAAAAATCACCCAAGGATATATTTTATTGGTTTGAGAGAGAGAGATAAAAAGAGAGAGAGAGGGACAGAGAGAGAGAAGAAGAGAGAGAGAGGGAGAGGGGAGAGAGAGAGGAAGAGAGAAAAACATTGATGTAAGAGAAAACATTGATTGGCTGCCTCCCATACCTGCCTGACTGAGGCTCGAACCTGTAACCTTTTGGTGTATGGGATGACACTCCAACCAACTGAGCCACCCAGTCAAAGTAGTAGTATATTCTTCATCAGGAATTTATTCTGTTCAGTGAAGCAATGTATAATAGAAAGGATCTTGACCTGGGAACAAGAAATAAATCTGTAAATGGATACTGACTTATTTAAAATAATCTGTTTTATGAAGGGTATTATTTTAGGCATATATTTATTTATGTAAAGTCACTTTTATTGCAAATAGTTCTGTCATTTCACCAATCTCTTAAAATTGATGACACACAATCTAAGGTTTATGCCACTTGTGTTTAAAGAATTTAATAAAAAATGATGCAGAAATGTGCTAACTCTGGATAGCAGAAAACTCCTTAGAATATACTTTGTTGTAGTGTTTGTGGGCAATTAGAAATTATGTCCAATAAGAAAACAATATTTCTGGAGAAACACAATACCAGAGGGCCAGCTAGGGATCAGACTCCTCAGAGCACACCTATATTCTGCTGCTGAAAATAAATAGTATTTCTCTCAGCCACTGCCTAAAATTAGGTACTACTTAAAATCTCAACTTTAGAAAGTGAAGTGGCGTTGGTTAGTTTTAATGTATTTGTTTTATTCTGAGCATGGATTATTGTGTCATTTAAAATGTAAAACAGGAAGCACAGTGTTGCCATAAAATTTCCATTTATTATCTCAAAGCATACCTCCAAATTAATGTTTGTTAATTAATAGTCTTATTTTTCTTTTTAAAATCCATTTGGAGCTTAAGACATATTAAATGTTCATATATTTGTGGATTGGTATTTGAATGTATTTATATTTTACTCTAATAGGAAGAAAAAAACCTTATTCATGGGAATGTGTGTGCCAAAAACATTCTACTTATTAGAGAAGAAGACAGGAAGGCAGGAAATCCTCCTTTCATCAAACTTAGTGATCCTGGCATTAGTGTTACAGTTTTGCCAAAGGACAGTAAGTTCTATAGGGATTATATATTTTATTAAGCTTTACTTGGAGGGTTGCATAAACAACATGTTATTTTTTCTTAAACCATTTTATTGGCATGTTCTTGATTAATAATAAAATGTATCTTCCATTTTTAGCAATCTCATTTAAGTTATAGTTACATCCTAGTCTCTGTCCATTTGTCCTTAAAAGCATGTTACTCGGTTTTAGTGCTAATTCAATGTCATCAGGAATCCCCATTTGGGATATGGCGAAAAAGGAAATTTTATTAGTGTAAAACAGCTTAATTGTGATATAGCACTGCTGTGAATACAACTCTGGGGCCAGGCCCCTCTCTGGCTAGACAGCTCTGCTCTGCTCCTTGATGGTCTGGCTCTGCTCTGTGCCAGTCTGCTTTGCACTGTGCTAATCTGCTGTGCCCGTGCTTTGGTCTGCTCTGTTCTGTGCAAATCTGCTCTGGCCTGCACTGGTCTGTTCTACGTCCTCTGCTGAGAAGCCAGGGAAGTGCAGTTTCTCAGTATTTGAAGTATATAAAAAGTGCCTTGTAGAGCCAGAGGGGAGCTGGCTTATATAGATACAAGTTCCAGATCCTGGTCCTTGTTTGGTCTGTCCTGATGCAAATGAATACTCTAAATCCTCACAGTTTGATTGATCCAAAAAGCACTGTCCTTACTGATCAGAATAGACCCCTCTGATTGGTTGCAGCTGCACAGGTCTATTGGATGGGGAAAATTTTAGTCTTGTGGTTGAAATATGATTTTAGGAACTCCTTTATAAGGACTAACTCAAATGGCAGAAATACAATGCAGTAATCAATTCAGTGCAGAGGCTAGCAGGATAGTGTAGACATCTTTCTAAAGTGCAGTTTGCATGAGAGCCCTTGTACCAAAATGTCTGGGTTTTTTGTTTTTAAATTTGAGCCCAGTTAGCTATCGGGAGCCCCTCTTAGTAGGCATCTTCTTTTATCAGGGTTCACAGGACTATAAAATAATGTTTTAATAATTACTTTATTGTTGGGAGTATTAGAGATGTTCCTCTTTTTCCCCCACTGACTCCTTCTAGCCCTCACCCAACCCCACCCCTCTTCCCTTTGTGATTTGACAGTCTGTTCTATACTTCTGTACCTCTGGATCTATTTTGTTCATTATTTTATTTTGTTCTTTAGACTTCACATATGAGTGAGATTATATGATACTTGTCTTTCTCTGACTGGCTTATTTTGCTTAGCTTAATACTCGGCAGGTATAAAATGTCCATACTACCCAAAGCAATTTATAGATTTAATGCAATCTCTTTTAAAATACCAATAGCATATAACACAGATCTAGAACAAGTACTCCAAAAATTTATGTGGAGCCAAAAAGATCCTTTAGAAAGAAGAACAAAGTTGGAGGGATCACAATACCAGATATCAAGTTATACTAAAAGCCACTGTTCTCAAAACTGCCTGGTACTGGCACTAGCACAGGCCTATAGATCAATGGAACACAACAGAGACCCCCACAAATCAACCCAAGTCATTACTTTTAATATTTGACAAAGGAAGCAAGAGCATACAATGGAGTCAAGACAGTCTCTTCAATAAATGGTATTGGGAAAATTGGACAGGTACATGCAAATTAAATAAATAAATAAATAAATAAATAAATAAAACTACACCACCAGCTTACACCATGCACAAGAATAAACTCAAGCCCTAGCCAGATTGGCTCAGTGGCTAGAGCATCGACCTGCGGATTAAAGGGTCCCAGATTCAATTCTGGTCAAGGGCACATGCCTGGGTTGTGGGCTTGATCCCCAGTAAGGGGCGTCTAGGAGGCAGCTGATCAATGATTCTCTCTCATCATTGATGTTTCTATTCTCTCTCTCATTTCCTCTCTGGAAAAAAAAATTTTTTTTTTTAAAGAGTAACTAAAAATGAATAAAAGACTAAGTTGTGAGGTCATAAAAATCCTAGAAGAAACCTATAGGCAGCAAAATTTCAGACATCTCTCCTAGCAGTGTGTTTGCTGATATATCTCCTAGGGCAGTGGTTGGCAAGCTGCAGCTCACAAGCCACATGCGACTCACAAGCCGAGGTTTGCCGCTTTGTTGACTAAGGAGTTTACAGACCACTGCCCTAGGGTGAGGGAAACAAAAAATAAAATAAACAAATGGGACTATATCAAAATAAAAAGCTTTCGCACAGCAAAAGAAACCATCAACAAAATGAAAAGGGTGTTCACTATATGGAAGAATGTATTTGCAAATGATACATTAGATAGAGATAATTATTTTGTTGTTGTTTTTAATCCTCACCCAAGGATATTTTTCCATTAATTTTTAGAGAGAGTAGAAGGGAGGGAGACAGAAATAAACATCAGTGTGAGAGAGACACATTGATTGGTTGCCTCCTGCATGTGCCCCAACTGGGCCAGGGATTGAGCCTGCAACTTAAGTACCGTATTTTTCGGACCATAGGACGCTCCGGACCATAAGACGCACCAGTTTTTAGAGAAGGGAAATGAAGAAAAAAAGATTCTGAAACAAATAGTGTCCTAAAATATTTTATGTGCATTAAAACCCAACATCATAGTCATAAACACATGTAATCAACCCTGTAAAGTAAACAGCAGCATTTAGAACCATTTTAGAGCCGGGCAAGCACACAGAGACCACACTGAGCCGGGCAAGTAAAAAAACTTTTTTTTAAAGTATATGTGTAGGCTATATTTGGACCATAAGACGCAGGGTCTTTTCCCCCCCACTTCTGGGGGGAAAAAAGTGCGTCTTATGGTCCGAAAAATACGGTATGTACCCTTGACTGGAATTGAACTTGTGACCCTTCAATCCCCGGGCCAATGCTCTGTCCACTGAGCCAAACTGACTAGGGCTGATAAAGATAATTTTTAAAAAGTGTTAATCCCTAATTATGTATGAAAGATCAGATTTTATTCATTTTTATTTATTTTTACATTTATTTATTTATTTAGAGACTATGATAATATGTGAAAATCTTAGCTATATTTCTGAATATTTCCTTAGAGTAGATCACTACAGTGCAATTATTGGATCAAGGGATGGGAACATTTTTAAGGCTCTCAATACAAATCATCAGGGAGCTCTCTGAAAAAGCAGTACTCGGTGACCTCAGAGGGCTTTCAAGCATTGGAGAGCTCTTAAAATGTTAAAATCACACCTCACTGTTTTGCTCTGTTGTTCTGTGATTATTCATGACACTAAAGAGTTTTTCATAAATTTATTGTATATTTCTAATTGTTTTATTTATTTTCATTTTTAAAATATATTTTTATTTCAGAAGGGAGGCAGAGGTAGAGAGAGATAGAAACATCAATGATGAGAAGGAACCATTGATCGGCTGCCTCCTGCACACCCACAGTGGGGCTAAAGCCTGCAACCCAGTCATATACCCTGACTGGGAATCAAACCATGGCCTCTTAGTTCATAGGTTAATGCTAAACCACTTAGCCACACCAGCGGGCATGTGTTTGTTTTTTACTGCACTGTTTCTTCACATCTTTTGTTCATTTTTCTCTTTGGGTCTTAGTGAATTTTTTTTATATGTGTGTATTTTTCATGAAACAATTTGGTTAACCTTTCTCATTAAAAAAAAATATATATATATATATATATATATATATATATATATATATATATATATATATATATTTATTTATTTATTTTTTATTTTTTACAGAGTGGAAAGGAGAGGGATAGTTAGTTAGAAACATCGATGTGAGAGAATCATCGATCAGCTGCCTCCTGCACATTCACCTCTAGGGATGTGCTCGCAACCCAGGTACATGCCCTTGACCGAAATCGAACCTGGGACCTTTCAGTCCGCAGGCCAACGCTCTATCCAAACCAGTCCTGGCTAACCTTTCTCATTTTGGTTGAATTCTTTACAATCCTGATTTACCTTTTAATTTTTTAACCTTAAAATTGTTTAAATAGGAAAATTTATTGATAGTTTTTGTTTTATAATTTCTTCCACTGCTTTTATACTTTGAAAATTCTTTCCAATCAACAGAGCAAATATTTACCTAAATGTTTTTTCTAAATATTGTATGTTTTTTTGTTTACATGTTCTGTTCTTTGAACTGGAGTTTATTTTGATGTTGTGCAATGTATCTAAATTGGCATTTTTTGGAATACTTAGCCAGTTTTACCCTCTGTCTCTTTCTTATTAATTAATAAGTCCTTTCCTTTGTCATCTAGTGCATTCCTCTAAATACTGGGATATTCTTTAGATGTGTACTTCTCATACCTTTGTCAAATGACTTTTGTTTTCTTTACTATTTTATACACAATTTTTAAACACCAGTTTTAATTCTTAATTATGTATGGAAGTGCAGATTTTATCCATTTTTGAAGTAAATTTTTCTATTATTCTTTGAGCCACAAGTAAATTTTCTAAATTTTTCTTTCCATAGTCACTAAATAAAAATTTGAGAAGATATGTTTATGTAGTTTGAGTTTTTATTTAGTTTAATTCAGCTACTCCTGACTTTTAAAAGCGTTTTTAAAAACACACACACATGCCAAAACCAGTTTGGCTCAGTGGATAGTCTGTGGACTGAAAGGTCCTGGGTTTGATTCCGGTCAAGGGCATGTACCTTGGTTGCGGGCACATCCCCAGTAGGGGATGTGCAAGAGGCAGCTGATCGATGATTCTCTCTCATCGATGTTTCAAACTCTCTATCCCTCTCTCTTCCTCTCTGTAAAAAAATAAAAAATAAATAAATAATCAATATTTTTTTTTAAAAAAAAAACAACAAAAAAAGAAACGCGCACAAAAAAACAAACAAACAAACAAACAAAAAACACAAAACACCAAAAAAATATTTCTTTTGTTTGTTAACCTACTTACCATGTATAGTTAAAATGGAAATTCAGTTTAATAGTTGAGAGGAATTATTTTGGTCCAAATAATGTAACTGTATTTCATTATCTTACCTAATTTCTCCAATCAAATGTTCTAAATTTAGAATCAAAGTTGACCAAGTTTTGTGCATTGATTTATGGTATCCTGAACCAATAGTACTTAAACTTGATGGCTTATCTAACAGTGAAGAGGGATTATAAGGCAGAAAATGTTATAGAATCTTAGATCTGGTACTCAGTGAAATTTTACCCTCTGGAATGTGATGTGAAGAAAGAGAAAATGAGTTCATATGGTGAAGGAGGAAGGCACATGTACTCTTTGAATATACCAAAAAAGGCAACAGATTATCCTTCATTTTTATCTATCTACCTACCTGCCTGCCTACCTACCTACCTACCTACCTACCTATCCCAGAATACCAGAAGGTGAAATTAAAGTGCTCTTTTCTGAATACTGTTTTTTGAGGATATTTTATGGTCTGTACAGAACCCACATATATTGATTCTGTACCTGTATATCTTACTAAAATTAAGTCATTCATCTGCCTATTGGTTCTTATTTTTTCATCCACAAAATAGAACTACCGCTACTATTTAAAACAGATTAGAATGATGCTCACTTTACCTTTACTACTTAAATATTGTAAAAAAACAAACAAAAAAACACACACAAAAACACAGACACACACAAAAAATATCAAGAGACAATTTTAAGATAAATTGTATGGGAAAAATTTTTTTTGAATGCAAAATTAATAGGAATGGGTAGAGAGACACTATGACAATGCAGCAATTTTCAACCTTTTTTGTCTTATGGCCCACAAACTAATTACTAAAATTCTGTGGCACACCAAAAATATATTTTTTTGCTGATCTTAAAAAAAAAAAAGTATAACTTTGATGCATTCACACGGGATGTCTATTGTTGTGTTGGCTGTTGTAATTTTTTATTTGACAGTTTAAGGAAAAGAGGTCATTGCCCCTGACTAAGTAGTTAGGTATTACATGTTTTAAAAATTCTTGGGGCATATGGGCTTAAAATTGGTGATTTATGGGAAAAAGTTTAGTTGATCCAGGATTTGTTGTATAGGATTCTAATTCTCTTAGTGCTAATAATAAATTGTGTGTTTTTGGGTAAATTATTCAGTCTTTATGGATCTCAGTGTTGTCTTTGTTAAAAATGAGATCTTAAATGAGAAGATAATTCAAATCAGTTTGAAAATTATTTGCATATAAAAGAATTACTTATGAGAACCATTTAACCATATTATGTTCCTATCACTTAAAAGTTCTTCAGGAGAGAATACCATGGGTACCACCTGAATGTATTGAAAATCCTAAAAACTTAAACTTGGCAACAGACAAATGGAGTTTTGGTACCACTTTGTGGGAAATCTGCAGTGGAGGAGATAAGCCTCTCAGTGCTTTGGATTCTCAAAGAGTAAGTTTATATAGACTGTGGAGTTGGATTAATTTTGTGATCCTTGATGATTCTCTTTCACATGATTTTATATTTTTTAGCCCATCTAATGTTAAAAAAGAAGGGGTTGATAAGGTATTACACAATTCTTAATGTGTGGTTCTTTAATTATAGAAGCTACAGTTTTATGAAGATAGACACCAGCTTCCTGCACCAAAGTGGACAGAATTAGCAAATCTTATTAATAATTGTATGGATTATGAACCAGATTTTAGACCTTCTTTCAGAGCCATCATACGAGATCTTAATAGTTTGTTTACTCCGGGTATGTATTGATGGAACAATCTTAATGATTCTCCAACTATCTTTCTATTTTTGTTCTATTTAACAAATCTTTACTAATTTTGTAACCCTCCCAATAAGTTCTTTGATGTCCTTTAGAATCTTATATGGCCATATGACTTTACATATATTCTAGACTCCTTGATTGAGCAATTTTTACATTAAAAAAGGCTTTTTCTCCACTCACCCAGTTTTAGTCTGCTACTTGATGAATAGTATGTTATAAAAGTTTGTCTTATTTGAGTTTTTAAAAAACAATTATTTTTTTAAACTAGTTTTCATACATTTTATAATTTTTCTAAACATGGAATAGATTTATTTTTGAATGTCCACTCCTTTAAAAATGTAGCTAAATATGCATATGTCTGACCTACAGATATTTCCTTTTCCAGTATTATTAATATCACAACAAAATCAGAATATATTCTTTATGAATATAAAAACTGCCTATTTTATAAAGTAATTATCCTTTGTAAAAATCTTTCTTGAAAGCCTGTCAGATTGTGGGTAATAAGTTGAGGCTCCATTAATATATTTTGGTCAGCTTGAATACATATTAACCCAGATAATTTATTTGCCAGCTTATGGTATAATAGCCTTTATTTCTGCAGATTATGAAATATTACTAGAGAATGACATGTTACCAAATATGAGGATAGGTGCCCTAGGGTTTTCTGGTGCTTTTGAAGACCAAGACCCTACTCAGTTTGAAGAGAGACACTTGAAATTTCTGCAGCAACTTGGCAAGGTAAGATGAAATAAGTTTTTTAAATAGTTAAATTATGGCCATAGAACATTTTATTTAGGAAAAAAATGCTTTAAAAATTCTCTGAAGTTAACATTTCATAAGACTTTTAAGGAGTATTTGTAGAAAAAAATTTAGTTGTCAGATGTTGGAGAAGTGCTGTGTTAAACAACTGTCTTTAAAAAGAACTTTTCAGAATCTTTAACATGTAATATGCATTGAACATCTTAAAAAATTAGGTAATATTTCCCCAATCGATTTGGCCATGGGACTGGTTCTGGGTAGAGGGTGTTTTATTTATGAAATAGAGAAAGGGAAAATTAAGCCCTTCTTCTTTTAAATCCTCAACTGAGGATATATTTATTGATTTTAGAGAAAGGAAGAGAGAGAAATATTGATGTGAGAGACAAACATTTGTTGGTTGCCTGTCATATGCACCATAACAACAAATGGGCAACCTAGGTATGTGTGCTGCCTGGGAATTGGACGTGTAACCTTTTGATGTACAGGATGCTCCAACCAACTGAGCCACACCAACCAGTAAGCCTTCCTACTCACTTCCTTGTTTAGTCATCTGAGGAAGAAATCATCTTGTTGTTCAGAGTCTAGATGTTGACTGGACTGTGTTCACTTACAAGGCCTCTCACAACATGGCAGCTGAGGGCAGACACCCAATGTGGAAACCATGGTCTTTTTATAACCTAATCTCAGTAGTGACATCTTATCTCTGATGTGTGGCCTGTGTAATTAGAGATTTAACTTTGAGCTTATATGTGGTCAAAGTTTTTTTTTAAATTGACTTCAAAAATATAACTGAAAATAGTCTATTAGAAACTTTAGCTCAACACTATGTTGTTCTGTTCTTTAAGAATGCAATAATATCCAAAATATATTACTTTGATTAATACCCAGAATTTAATTGTAAATATTATATATGAATATAATTGTAAATATTATATATCTGTATAGATAATAAATCTTAAATAAAAAGAGAAGAGGTTTCTTTAATGACTCACCCTAAAAAAAAGTGGGAACATCCCATAGGCTAAAAATTTACTTTCTTGAGCAAATAATACAGACTATGTACTAATCTGCTCAGGCTGACATAAGAAAATACCATAGACTTAGTGGCTTTGCTATTAGATATTTATTTCTGATAGGTTCAGAGGCTGGAACCTGAAATCAAGGTTCCGACAGGGTTTGGTTGCTGGTGAGGGCTCTCTTATTGGTACTCATTTGGCACCTTATTGACAGAGAGCTTTAGTGCCTCTTCCTCTTCGTGTGTGTGTGTGTGTGTGTGTGTGTGTGTGTGTGTGTGTGAATCCTCACCTGCGATTTTTTTTTCCCATTGATTTTTAGAGGGAGGAGGAAAAAGAGAGACAAACATCGATGTGAGAGATACATCGACTGGTTGCCTCCCATACGTGCCCTCATTGGGGTTGGGGATTGAACCTGCAACCCACATACGTAGCATTGACCAGGAATTGAACCCTCTCCCCTTTGGTGCTTGGGCCGAGACACTAAGCACTGACCCACACTAGTCAGGGCTCTTCTTCTTCTTCTTCTTCTAAAAGTACCAGCTCTATCAGATGAAGGCCTCACCCTTATGACTCCATTTATCCTTTATCGTCTCTTCACAGGCCCAGTCTCCAAATACATTCATTAGGGGGTTAGGTTTTATCATATGAATTTTGGGGAGACCTACACATTCAGTCCATAATAGGCCCTTACTCCATCCAGCTCACTGACAGTGAGTGATACCAAAGGATGTATTGTGAAAAAGCTAAGTTCTTCCTTGAAGTTAGTGATAGATAGCATCTCCCTTGGGTTGCCTTAATAATTAATGTTCATGATATGTGTCTAAAAGCTTTTGGAAATTGTTTATATTGTATTTTAGCTTTTAATTCCTTTAAAGAAATTAAATATATATGTTTACTACCCACTTGTGGAATTACTATTTTCTTTTTTGTCCTGAAAGTTACCTAATCTATGCTTGGGGATGTGTGTTAATTCTGGCTGTTGGAATTGCTCATGTAATTAGAATTTGTTAGTGTTTGTGTGGAAAATGAGATTTCTATCTGAATGTGCTGTATTGTTCAGGGTAATTTTGGAAGTGTCGAGATGTGCCGGTATGACCCTCTACAAGACAACACTGGGGAGGTGGTGGCTGTGAAAAAGCTCCAGCACAGTACTGAAGAGCACCTCAGAGACTTTGAAAGGGAAATTGAAATCCTTAAATCCCTGCAGCATGACAACATTGTGAAGTACAAGGGAGTGTGCTACAGTGCTGGTATGTTGCCCATTGAAACCTATAATATTTTGAACTCAAGCTACATTTTGGCATCCTGGGTAATAGAAATATCCTGTCTCAAGATGTGGACTTATAATGTAACAGTGCCCAGAGAGAGAAGTCTGAAGACTGCTTGGTGATGGTGAACTGTAACTACAGGAAGTCTCTGGCTAGTCAGTTAATCATTCCCTTCACTTTAAATGGTTGTTATCACCCTTGCTTATGCTTATTAAGTGAATATCATTTTCAAAGAAAGAAATTGTCTCTGTTCATATTTTCTTTAAAAATATAATATTTAAATTAGATACTTTTTGTTCAGTACAAAATGAGGAGAAAGGAAGTTTTCTCAGCTTATTTTGATTTGCATACAGGGTTACAGAAGACTAAAACAACTATTTTGATTCAAAAAGCCTATGTTCTTTACTATTTCACCTTTAATTTATTATATAATCAAATTATTTAATCTTAGACCCAGATTTTATATATCTTTAAGTCATTTATGTATGGTTGTTTTTTAATATTTCATCAGTAAAATCTGGCAAAGTTTACATTATATTCCCATTTGTGTTTTCAAAGGCCGGCGTAATCTACGATTAATTATGGAATATTTACCATATGGAAGTTTACGAGACTATCTCCAAAAGCATAAAGAACGAATAGATCATAAAAAACTTTTGCAATATACATCACAAATATGCAAGGTACCTAATATTCTGGCTATTCGTTGTAGATGAAGTGAACATGTTTAGGTAATTGTTAAGAAATCCTCTCATTTATCTTAGATAATTAAGGGAGTATAAATATTATAAGTAAGACCATTGAAATTATTTATGTTTACAAAACTGGCTGAAAGAAAAAATGCTATTTTTTATCCATAGGGTATGGAATATCTTGGTACAAAAAGGTATATCCACAGGGATCTGGCAACAAGGAATATATTGGTAGAGAATGAAAACAGAGTTAAAATTGGAGATTTTGGGTTAACAAAAGTCTTGCCACAAGACAAAGAATACTACAAAGTGAAAGAACCTGGTGAAAGTCCTATATTTTGGTGAGTATATTTTAGTACAGTAAAATGAAATTTTAGAGCATAAACTTCAAACTTTATTTTTACCATTACTAATAGTTTGTCATTTATATATTTACTAGAGGCCTGGTGCACGAATACATGCATGGGTGGGGTCCAGCTGCCCTGCCCTGATTGGGGTGGGGGAGGCGATTGGATGAGGGGCTAGCTGGGGGGCAGTTGGCAGGCTGGCTCCCCTGGTCAAACTCGCGGTTGAACTCCCAATCAAGGGGACAATTTGCATATTAGCCTTTTATTATATAGGATAATAGTAGCAAAAATTTCTCATGTATTTACATTGGGCTTAAATGCATGTCATGGATTATCTCATTTTAATCCTCATAAGAATCCTTGGAGAATATTTATTAGTTTCTCATTTTAAGCATGAAGGAACTGAATTCTAGACAGGGTAAATAGCTTGCTCAAGATCAAGATTTTTTAGATTCTACATATTATATAAAGTGAAATCATAGGATATTTGTCCTTTTCTGTCTGACTTATTTCACTAGGCATGATAACCCTACAGGTGTTGGAGATGTCTTAGGGATATGGATGAAAATGGTGAAAGGGAATAAACAGTACAAACTTCCAGTTGTAAAATAAGTCACAGGAGTGTAATGTACAGCACAAGGAAGATAGTGGTATCATAACTTTGGATGGTGTCAGATGGTTACTAGATTTATCACTGTGATCACCTCATAAGATATAAATGTTGATTATGTTGTATATCTGAAACTCATATTATATGTCACTATACTTTAATAGAAAGAATTAGTTAACTTTTTTTTAAGTTTATTTTAAGAGGAGGACAAGAGCAAGAGGATCAGGGCTTGTAAGTGAATGGCATAATTGCAGAGCAAACAGGGAGCATTTGGGGCTAGAATTATATTGAGCGCTGTACAACGTGTTAATGAGTTCAGCCTTTATTTAGTAAACATTGTGTAGGTGAAAGATTTGTAGGGGTGTCGAACTCAATCAGAGAAGGGGCCAAAATCTAAAATCCAGCCTAAATCGCGGGCCGAATGGTTTACTGAACAGTCATAAACTGTCATTGTGATGGAAACGCAGCGGAGTGCAGTGATGACAGCGCGGTGCGGGCCACATTGCAAGGCCTGGCGGGACGGATTTGGCCCTCGGGCCTTGTGTTTGACACATGTGATTTAGAGGCTTTATCCAGGGAACATTGTGGGAGTCATATTTTAGGAATTTGAATTACCTTTTCCCCCCTCCACCTCTACCTTTGGTGCAGAACATCAGTTTTCAAAGTATGGGGACCTCTAGGGAGTCTGTTACCAAAAGTTATTTTAATACTAATACTAAGATGTTATTTGCCTTTTCCCTCTCCTTTTTTCATGAGTAGATAGTGGAAATTTCCAGAGGTTATACTCTTATACTCTCTATTAAACCAAACAGTAAAGAAACTTTTAAAATATAAAACAATGCTACTCTTCTCACAGAAGCATTCTTTTTATAGTAATTTTTTTCAGTAATTTTTAAGAGTGTATAGGGGCCTTTGACCAAATGGTTGGAGAAGTGATAGAGAGGGTACGTTGTATTAAGGTGAGGCTAACAGCAGGGAGAAGCTAGAAAGAAAACAGTTTTATTACTGAATAAGCATTAATCCAGAAGGTATTGCACATCAAAAGTAATCTGCTTGTAGATTACAAAGAGAGAAAGAAATCTTATTCTTTCTTATGGCCAAGCAAATTCAACTCATTACTTACATTTTCTCATGATAAACCAGGAACTAGTCCTTAAGTGAGAGGACTTGACATCACATTTGTCACAGGTGGTTCATCCTAAATTCATTGGGTGATTGAAGTCACCATGTGTTAGCTAACTGGCTTTATCAAAGGAAAAATAAAGTCATAACTTATGACGAGAGATAACTTTGTGACTTGGAAGGAGGCTCCTGCTGAAGTCAGGTTCCTCCATCTCACAAAACCTGAGGAGTAGTGGTGCCAACTTCCTTGATGATCATATTACAAAGAGAAGGTTCACAGGTTCTGGAGAATAACATGTTATAAAGCTGGCAAGAGTCTTTTGAGCAAAAGCTTTAAAAATATTTACATTTGAAAGAGATAAAGAATTTACAGTGGTAAGTTTTCTAAAGTAAATGCTTTAAGAAAAGAGGGGGAAGAGTCATTTTCCTCATTTTCAACAAGGAAAGTTATATTTTTTTCTTTTTTACTTGTATTTATTCTTAAATTAGTGATGGGAGAGGGAAACAACCTTAGAGATTGGGGGAGGGAAGAGTGGGGAGGCGATTCCAGGAGTGCTTTCAGGAAAAACAAAGGATGAGAATATTTTACAATGGTTGGGGGAGTAGCACTATCTTCAGGGATGTTATGTTCCCATTTGTGGGCTAAAGCTAACATTTATTTAAAAATATAACTGAAGATGTACTGTGTTTTAAAAAACTAAATATAAAATGAAAATAGCATTGCATGGTTAATTGTGTGGCATATACTTACTATAGGTATTATAGAAATTCAGTAGCATTGAGTCATGAAAACCTTGAGTAGTCAGAGAAGGATTTGTGGAAGTGAGGATATTTTAAAGGAGAGATTAAATTTTTGTAATTCATATTTTTAATCTCATCAATTAAAAATTTTATTGTTTAATGTATTAACATTAGTAATGCATATGTCTCTTCCCCCCGTCCTTGTCCCCCATTGACCTCCTCCCAGCCTCCCCTATACCCTAGCACTTGCCCTCACCACCGCCCCCCCCCTCAGTGTCTTATGTCTATTGTTTTGCTTATATGCATGCATACAAGTCCTTTGGTTGATCTCTTACCCCCCAGCCCTCCCCTGCCTTCCTGCTGTAATTTGACAGTCTGTTCTATGCTTCTTTGCCTCTATCTGTTTTTGTTCAGCAGTTTATAATGTTCTTTATATTTCACAAGTGAGTGAGATAATGTGATAATTTTCTTTCACTAACTGGCTTAAGTCACTTAGCATAATACTCTCCAGTTCTATCCATGCTGTTGCAAATGGTAAGAATTCCATGTTTTTTGCAGTAGGTAGTATTCCATTGTGCAGATATATCAGTTTTCTAATCCACTCATCTGCTGATGGGTATTTAAGCTGTTTCCAAATCTTAGCTATGGTAAATTGTGCTGCTATGAACATAGGGGTACATATATCCTTTCTGATTGGTGTTTCTGTTTTCTTGGGATAATCTCATCAATCTTAAACAGATCTCTATCATCACTCTCTATAATAAGGATAAACTTAGCAATGTAACCAGGACATTCACAGTCCATTAGCCAAAATTCTCCTTTGGTTAGTGTTAATACTTGAGTAGATAGTAGCATTATTTCTTCCTGGACTTTGTTTTCTGTGCTCTTTCACAAAAAAATCACTTTCTTAAGATGAGCAGCTTCTTTCTTTTATATGTTAACTAGAGGCCCAGTGCATGAAATTTGTGCATGGATAGGATCCCTAGTGGCTGCCAGCTGGGGCCTCCCTTCATACCCACCTTGGTCTGGTGCAACCCACTCAACTGCTCCATCATCTTGGCACAGTCCCACTCTCATCGGGGCCCATCGGGGCTGGCAGCATCTCCACTGCCACCACGGCAGCACCACGTTGTCAATGCCCGCCATGTTCCGCACCGTCCCCTGGTGGTCAGGACATGTCTAATTCCTGATCGGTCAAACTCCCACTTGTAGGGACAATTTGCATATTAGCCTTTTAATATATAGGATAGTTTCAAGTCTTGCTCCAATTTAGAAGCAACTTTTTCTCTCTGTGGTACTTTGTAGTTAATCCTGGTGTTAACTATAAAGGCAAAATAATTTTTTTTTAGGTGGGTTTTTGTTTGTTTGTTTGTTTTGAGTTATCTTTGTGCATTTGGAGGTGTGGACCATTCTCAGATTTGATATTCACTAGGAGGATTCATAGCAGTCGGCATACAGCCGTATTTGTAGCTGTGATTCTATACAGGGAACAACACAGAGCAAATCAGCAAAGGAAAAGGAGTCTGGGGAAAAACTGGAGGGAACCAAGTTCAATCTTCCAAGGGTCCTCTCTCAGCAAAGTATATGGGACACACTTCCTTTTACCAGCAGTAAGTTGAACAACACAGTGCCCAAGGTTTGTATTGGTACTAGACACGAGAGCACCCTCTGCCTGTTATGTACCACCATTTCAGACTCCTAGAGAGAAAATAGGCATTTGGCACAAACCATGTAGTTGGCAGAAACATTTTAGGCACAGTGAGCCACTCTTATCATTTAGGGAATTGTGGAAACACTTCTGAAATCTAAGTTCCGGGTACCAGTCAAGCGTCAACATTGCAAGCAGGCCTTTTTTAGGATGACAGCCTCAAGCCTGCTATGGTAACTCTTTCCCGTACATCTTGCTTTTTTTTTTTTTTTTTTTAATCCATTTGGTTTTCAGGTACAAACGAGAGTTGGCACATTAGGTAAGCGCCTTTTAAATGCTTTCCTATTTCACAGGTATGCTCCAGAATCACTGACAGAGAGCAAGTTTTCTGTGGCCTCAGATGTTTGGAGCTTTGGAGTAGTCCTGTATGAACTCTTCACCTATATTGAGAAGAGTAAAAGTCCACCAGCGGTCAGTGTGTTTTTATTTATTTTCAACTTTTTTTTTTTTAATATGAGAAAAGCGTTTTCCAAATAATAATAGTAAGCTTAAAGCTTATCAAGCCTTTTCTTGCTTATTTGTAATACAACATCCTACAAAATAACTCTAAACTTATTCATTAAATTAACTTGAATTTTTAAAAAGAAGAGGGGTAGAGTACTATTTACTATATTCTCTTAATATTATTCTTAATGCATCCAATAAACTCATTCATTCTAGGGATTATTGCAAAAGTTAAAGTAAACCTTTTAAAATATTTTTTTTCCTGATCATTGTAGAATTTTCTTTAATATAGAAAAGTATGAAAAAAATCCACTCCAATTCAACTACTTAGAGGTAGTACTATGGTATGTTTTCTTCCTGGCTTCTTTTAATTTTATATGTATTAAATATATATATATATATATATATATATATAAAATAAAGGTTATATTATATAGCTTGCTATCTTGTTTTTTTTTAAATTAAGTATTAGAGCATGGATATTTTTCTATATTAATAACTACTGAAAATATAGCTTCTAACTTTTGGATAGCATTTCATAATAAGGATATAATATCTAAACAATTATTTTTTATTTTCAGTCTTTTAAGTAACACCTCAATGAACATAGTAAACATCCTTATACATAAATATTTGTTTCTCTCTGGTTGTCACCTTAGAATAAAAGTTTAATAATAAATGAAAGGATATGAACTCTTTTAAAGGTTCTTGAGTATTTCAAAATGCTTTCTAGAAAAGCTGTATCAGATTACACTCTCAATAGCAGTGCACAGGGTATGTGCATTTCATCATTTGACAGTATCCACTGTTAATGTTTTTATGCAGCTTTGCCAAAGTGGTAGGAGAAAAGTGGCATCTATTTTATCTGAAATTGCGTTTCTCCTATTACTGTGACTGAACACATACTTATTGGGTATTTTATGTATATATGTGTGTGCATTGTCTCCTTATGTGCTTTGCCCATTTTTATTTTGGTAGTTTTTCTTACCAGTTTATAAAAGCTCTCTACATTTCAATAAAGAATGTGTTGCAAATATTTTCCTAGGTTATAAGTCAGATTTTTATGAATTTTTAAGACTTGAACATATTTTTCTCTCCATGAACTCTTACTTAAACATTTATTCTGCGCTTTCTTTTTATTATGCCCTTTTACATTCAACTTTTTATTTCAGCTGAAATGTAATGTAATGTGACATGTTATAACAATCACACACAAAAAACATGTGAATATGGTTCTATTGTAGTTCACTTATTTGGGCCCTTCTCAGGGAGTTTGGGTTGAGTACATTATTTTTATAGAAATGGCATTATAGAAGTTCCATATATAACAATCCTATGTGAAGTATTCCTGAAAAGGAAGTTTTAAAATAGTTTGACTTTTAAAAATATTTTTTATTGAATTTTTTTTTTTAGAGAGAGAGAGGAAGGGAGAGGGATAGAGAGGTAGAAACACTAATGGGAGAGGAACATTATCAATCAGCTGCCTCCTGCATGCCCCCACTGGGGACCACGCCTGCAAACCAGGCATGTGCCCTGACCAGGAATTGAACCAGCAACCTCTTGGTTCCTGGGTTGATGCTCAACCACTGAGTAACACCAACCGGACAAAATAGTCTGTTTTTAAAATGTTTCAAGCATATAAGAAAGCATACATATTCAGAATTTTTCCCATTTATTGGAAGAAGTTGAGAAATTTTTCTGCTTCAAATAAAATGTACCCAAAAAATCTCACTGAAATGTGGGTTTATGTTTCAGGAATTCATGCGTATGATTGGCAATGACAAACAAGGACAGATGATTGTGTTTCATTTGATAGAACTCTTGAAGAATAATGGAAGATTACCAAGACCAGATGGATGCCCTGATGAGGTCACAAATTTATTTATTTTTTTTATCCACAGTAATCATACAATTTCTTGCTCTTTTAGAACAAGGACTTCAGGTCACTTCATCAAATTTAATTAATGAGCTTTTAAATAAATAGCATTATCATATAACTATGGATCTGGGCACAGATACCTATATGAAAAAATTAAATGGGAGTTCTGAATTCATGTGTTCTGCCAATTAAAAAAATAGCACTTTGTGTTCATTGCAATTCTGGTTTATTTTATCTTTTACAGATCTATTTGATCATGACAGAATGCTGGAATAATAATGTAAATCAACGCCCCTCTTTCAGACAACTAGCTCTTCGCGTTGATCAAATAAGGGACAACATAGCTGGATGAACGAAATGAACTTCACTCTGAGACCAAACTAAAGTTAGAGAACAAAGTTTTGTATTTTCCATTGCTGTGGACTATTACTACATATATCATTGTTATGAATATCATGTTGCTAGCCACAAAGATGTGGAAATATTATATCTGCTCAAAACTTTCAAAGTATAGTGAGTTTTTCTTTATGGGACACCAGTAAAAAAAAGTTGATGAAAAGTTCTGAGTAAAGAATTTTGTAAAAAATTTCATGAACTTATTAGGCAATTAACATCACTTTTCTTTGGCAAAAGAAAAAAAATAGATGTTTTTTAACTCAGAATTTTGAGAGATGAAAAAATTATAATATAAATTTTACAATGTTAAAGAAGCACAGAATACGTATGTACAGTTTTTACCACAGTGAATGTATAATACCTTGGCATCTTGTGTGATCTTTTACACAAGGGCTGGCTCATTAATGGTGTTTTATAGTTTTTCCATAGTTGATCTATAATAACTTCACTATACAAACGAATTAAGATTCTCAAATATTTGAATAAGCACTTTTGTGTTCTTGTTCATCTGTATCACTGGCCAGCAATATAAGCAGGTGTACACTTTTTGCTTATAATTCTATGTACTGTAAATATTTTTCAAAGAAAAGGGAACAAATGTTTAGTTTTATTTGTATAGGAATTTCCTTGACTATAAAGAATACATTTTGAAATGGAACAAGTTTACAAAGCTGTAACACAATCTATTTTCTTATTTGTCTCCTTTGTATCTATTTGTGATGAGTTTGTTGTGTGTGTTTTTAAATAGATCTCTAAATTTTTCTAAGACTGGTAAATAGTTTTCTTTTAAAATTTTGAGATTACAAATTCAGGAATATTGTCATCCCTTGAGCTATTGGCTGCCAATATGATTCTTCAATCCTTGGGACCTATCATCATGCATTAAATTTAAGTGTAAGCCTTATGATACGTTGTTTTTTAAGATTAAGATTCATAGTGTGGGCTAGGGATTTTTTTTTTAAAGACTGTATTTTAGGGATTTCAGAAATCTCTTGTAGTCACAGAAGAAATTTTTTCTGAGAAAATTCAGAAAGTCATATAGTCAAAAGAGAAATGAGAGGAAATTGGTAAAAACAAAAAAATAAAAAAAGTATGCTTGTTATTTTATTCCAGAATGCCAGTTGAAAATTCTTAATATTCCTTTTAAGAAAAATGAGAGCATGCATATTTTCAGTGAAGTATAATGGGTTGTTTGTTGTCTTCGTCATTTGTTTTAGTGCTACTTCATTTTAGACACCATACATAATATGAGGTGGCATTTATTGTTATTTATAAAAAGTTTAAAATACTTAGTATTTGAGTTAAAAAGAAGATAATTTCTTACTCTTGTTTCAGTGGTATGTGCTATTTTTTAAACTTAGATTTTTAATAATTTTTCTGATTATTTTTTGGAGCTAGTTTTAAAGTGCAAATTCTCTAAGAAAAAAAAATGTTTCATGTGTAATGTTTGAGATTCTTTTGGTTGGAAGGAAGGAAAGAGGAGAAATTCTTTTTACATGATCTTTAAAATACTTTAGTGGTTACTGAATGAAAAAGTATTTAAAATTTTGAAAGATTTCTAGTAGATATTTTGATGAAAGTTTAATATAATTTTTATTTAAAGATCTGTAAATACAGTGCAATTAAAGATCTCCAGTTTTGCTACTTTTCAAGTCAAAAGTATGATGTGCTTGATTTCAGATTTTTATATTAAAACTTAAGTTCTGAAAGGTAGAATTTTAAAGGTCTAAAACATTGTTTGTTTTTATTTATTTTATTATTATTATTTTCTATTGATTTCAGAGAGGAGAGGAGAGGGAGGGAGAATGGAAACATCAATGAGAGATAATCATTGATTGGCTGCCTCCTGCATGCCCCTCCTGCATGTCCACAATCCCTGGCATGTGCCCCTGAATGGAATGGGATGCTTCAGTCTGCAGGACGATGCTCTATTCCCTGAGCCAAACCAGTGAGGGCCATCTTGTTTATTTTTAAAAATAAGGATGTTAACTAGATTTTCTTTTTAAAACGTTTTTAATGTTTCATTTTTAGTTGTAGAGAAGAAATACTTTATAAACATTTTTAAGTATTTAGAGTTGATGACTACCTTATTGTAAAATGTTAAATCTTCAAGAGAATTATTATTCATTAAGGATTAATAATGTTTTAGATTTTGATTCTGACTATACATAGAAAGAAATTGAACCTGTAGCTGTTTAGTTGGTTCTGCACAAGAAATAGGTAATTATTGTTCTAGTTAATGCCAAAATGTTTCTTCAAATTAATATTCTTCAGAAATGAGGATAAAGATTTTCTTAGAATTCTGTAATTCTGTAAATATTCTGGTATAGTAAATTATACAGTCTTTATATAAATAATTTCTTATATTCATAGCTACCTGCTTTGGGAAATGGTAATTTTTTAATGTTATTTATACATGTGCTGCCAGTACACTGTAACTTTCTGTGAGAGTGCTTTCTTACAACCCAAGATTTCTGCTATAAAGTCAAGTGAAATTTTTATCACAACTATAACTTCTGATATTTCAATTTTATTTAAATAATTCTATTATGGAGTAGACATTAGAAAATACCCACAGTTCTATACCTGGGAGCCATTCTCCATGGGGTGATGTTATATGGCCAGTTTATGAAGACTGTGTTATTTTTTTCAATTGTGCCTTTAGCATGTTCCCACAAAATTGAAATATTGATGTAATAAATATTCAGAAGTTATTTTTTTTTTATTGTCTTTTAAATACCTCCACCAAGGAAGTGGGAGTATACACACTGGTTTAGGATTGTGCAGAGAAAGCCTTTTATAGCAGTAAACTTACCTTTAGATTTTTTTTTAAAGAAATGCTTCCTTAGATTACTACCAAGTACTGCATGTTCTTATAAACATTACCATATCTACTCTAGTTCTGGTGCTTAAATGATTTCTAATGAAAGTTTCTTTGGTTTTCCAGTATTACTTACTAAAGTTTTTCTCTTTGCTATACTATATAATATTGACTGAACAGTGGAACGGCTGGTTGCTATGATGAGCAATTGGTTATTTTAGAAAAGCTCCTGGTCCAAGTCGAGCTAGTATAATCCCAGGGTGCAGAGTTCTCTCTCTCTCAGGGACCTGCGCTGGCCCCATTTGTTACTCTTCACAGTAACCATGAAGGTTTGGCAGTCCCATGTGGGGCCTGTAGCAAACTGCATGGGCTCCCACGGACTAAGCTTTAATATGAAACAGAACTCTGGACACTGGCCTTTATTTTGGCCTTGACGAAGACAAGTTTGGACTTTTCCATGGCAGGAATGGAGACTGGACATTGAAAACCCAGGGAACAGCCTTCAATTTCCACCCAAATAAATTTCACCACCTGCCCTTTAGGAGACCCATTTATTTCCAAAACTATTACCGAGAAAGAAATTTCCAAAAGTTGATAGTACTGTAAAGAACAGTCTATTGCCCAGTCAGTGTGGTTCAGTGGTTGAGCATTGACCTGTGAAATAGGAGGTCACAGTTCGATTCCGGGTCAGGACACATGCCTGGGTTGCGGGTTTGATCCCCAGTGTGGGGCGTGCAGGAGGCAGCCAATCCATGATTCTCTCTTATTATTGATGTTTCTCTTCCTCTCCCTGCCTCTTTGAAATAAAAAATATATATTAAAAAAAAGAACAGTCTATTTCCTAAAAATCATTTAGACTTCTGAGACTTAAGGAACAATGAATATGGTGCTAGAAAAAGAGAATTTCTAAAAAACTTTTTCAGATCTAATATTAAATTCATATTCAATGGGATTTTCGTTAACATTTTTTAATGTCTCTTATTTTAGGATTACTAAAATAACTGTGGAAGGTTAGAGTATTGAGTTAAAGCATAACTCAATCAAATGCCAAAAATTCTTTGGCTCTAGCCCTAATTGGTTTAGCTCAATGGATAGAGCGTCAGCCTGTGGACTCAAAGGTCCCAGGTTTGATTCCAGTCAAGGGCATGTACCTTGGTTGTGGGCACATCCCCAGTAGGAAGTGTACATGAGGCAGCTGATCGATGTTTCTCTCTATCCATCTCCTTTCCTCTCTGTAAGAAAATCAATAAAATAAATATTTTTTAAAAAAATTCTTTGGCTCTAGTAATTACCTAGGTCAGTGGTTGGCAAACTCATTAGTCCACAGAGCCAAATATCAACAGTACAACGATTGAAATTTCTTTTGAGAGCCAAATTTTTTTAACTTAAATTTCTCCTAATGCCACTTCTTCAAAATAGACCGTCCAGGCCATGGTATTTTGTGGAAGAGCCACACTCAAGGGGCCAAAGAGCTGCATGTGGCTCTCGAGCCTCAGTTTGCCGACCATGGACCTACATCATTTCCTTTTTTCTTTTCTTTTTTTAAAGATGAGTGAATGCCAATACTTCTTTAAAAAAAAAAAAAAAATGTTTATTGATTTCAGAGAGAGGAAGGGAAAGGAAGAGAGAGATAGAAACATTGATGAGAGAAACATCAAATGGCTGCCTGCTGCATACCCCCATCTGGGGATCAAGCCTGCAGCCCAGCTATGTGCCCTGAGTAGGAATCAGACCAGTGACCTGGTGCATGGGGTACAACCAACCAACTGAGCCACACTGGCCAGGCCCTAAGTCATTTTTTTTAAGCTCCAACTCACCTACTTAATGGCTATATTTTTAGTAGAGTGCTTTCTTCTTTCTAAATTAAAAAAAAGAAAAGACTGTATATGTGAGAGTTTATTTCTGAGCTCTTTATTTTCCCCCATTGGTTTATATGTTTGTTTTTATGCCAGTACCATGTTGTTTTGATCACTGTAGCTTTGGTAGTAAGTTTTAAAATTGGGAAATGTGAGACTTTCCACTTTGTTGTAAGTTTAAAAAACAACAAAAACTTTTGGTTATTTGGTGTCTCTTGAGATTCCATATGAATTTTAAGATGGATTTTTCTATTTTCCACAAAAAGTGTCATTGGGATTTTGATAGGGATTGTATTAAATCTTTAGTATACTTTGGGTAGGAGTAATGTCCCTCTTTTGTGGATTATCTCATTTTATCCATACAACTCTGAGGAAGGTGATATTGTTTTCTCATTTTAAATGCCTGCAAACTGAAGTTTAGCAAGATACAATAAATTCCCAAATCCTACATGTAGAAAGAATGGATGCTGGAATTGCTTGAATTTTAATTTAGGCAGTCTGATTCCAATAAAAGAGTTTATATCACTTCCTCATTCTGCCTTTAACAGTTTTGGCAGCATACATATAAAACAGCAATAAACTAGATAAACTCTGAAGTTACATTTCCCAGGTAGCAAAATGACAAAATCATTTTAGTTCCCAGTATAAACAGGTATTTTTTAGTTGAATAACTAACTATATCCTGTTTTGATTAAATGTAGAAGGTTAGTCTCTGGGAGAGGAGCAATGTAAGGATGAGGAAAGATTAAAGTAAATGAACTCCCCAACCAATCTTGCTCAGTGGTTGAGCATCAACCCATGTACCAAGAGATCACCAATTCAATTCCAGGTCAGGACACATGACCAGGTTGTGGGGTTGATCCCCAGTAGGGGGCATGCAGGAGGCAGCAGATTAATGTTGATGCTTCTCTCACATGGATGTTTCTATCCTCTCTTCCTCTCTCTAAAAATCAATAAAAACATTTTATAAAAAGTAAATGAACTTTTTATAAAACTCGTGTTGGATGACCTCTGACTATTATTTAAATTGAACACTCTCAAGTCTAGACATATATATGGTTGTTTAAGGAACTGAATCATGTTTTCCAAAGTCACCAAAATATTTGCTATGTGAAGGAGGATTACAGGGGTGCAAGAAGAGGATCAAAGGTTTAGTTGAAGCCATTTTATAGCTAAGTCCAAAGAAGTTACCTTAACTCTACATCACAGATCTGAGTAAAAACAAAGCCAGGCTAAAGCCCAGCTCTTCTGACTCTGATGGATGCTGTATATACTAAAACATGCTAAATTATCTTTTTTTTTTTTTTAAAGAAATGAGCCTAGGTTATAAACCATCAACTTTACTTAACCTTTTAACAAATCTTTTTTGAGAGCCTACAGTGAACAAGGCACTATGCTAAACACTGTTAGTAAACATGTTCAGATGCTCAGGGTTTTTAGTTGAGAAGGGAGTAGAATGTATCTTGAGAAAGCATTACAAAGATAACTTGCAAATATCTAGGGAGAAGAAACAGAACATGAAGTATCATCTCTAAAAGGAAGTTACTTCTGATGAATTGGCAGTAGAGGAAATAAGTGGTAGGTAAAACTGAAGCAGTATCAGTCTTGCATATAATACAGCAAATATATAT